CAGAGGTAAAGTGAAGTGTTACGATAAAGTTGCAATAATTTTAAAGGAATCGTGTCAGTAAAACGGGCGAAGCACGTGGCACGCCGAAGTGGAACGAGTCGAGGGAAAGATGCAACGAGTCGTTAACGTCCGGAAGAGAGGATTCAGCGTCGTTCAGGAAACAGAATTTTTTAGTCACGCTTCTAGCTGCGTACCCCGGGCTCGTCTTCGCGCATTCTCCGATCGCGATCGTCCGTAAAATTGCAGCTCCGCGCGTACGTCCAAGAGATTGTCTACCTTTCGCGCGACAAAGTGGCAAAATATTTATCAAAGTCCCGACGAGAGATAAAACGAACGAAGCCATTTATACAGACTCCAAACGACCGAGCGGCTCGTAGATCGAAGAGGTGACTTCACTTGCCAAACGAGTTTATGTTTTTAATCGAGTCTACGACTCGTCTGGCAACGGGTTCTCCCGGCACATCCGGCATGCAATTGCTGGATATGATTCCTCCTTCAGTCTTCGCGAGAGATCATCTGCCAGAGGCCCTTTCAAGACCCAGCCACCTGTTTCCCGTCCATCGAGCCGCGTCTGTCTCGCCTTTCCTTCCGTGAAAGCCACGAGTACTCGATACGCTGCTCCGATCGTACCCTGAAAATCGAATAGGAGTGCTGTTAGCGCACAGCAAACAGAGGAAATTACAAGCGTTATCTAAATGAAAGCCACCGTGCTCCTACGATCGTCCACGAAAATACAATTTTGATAAAAGACAATGCTCCAAAGCTGAATCAAGCGTTCTAATTTTCTCTGCCCGGAAAACGTCGACGGAGCTCGCGTTCGAGAAACGTTAGAGGACAGGTAAACTGCAAACAGAGGGAATTACGGGGCGTTATCAGCTCGAGGGAAAAAGGGTCGATCGACGTGGAACAAAAGCGAGGTGTCGGATCTCTAGGCAAGTGCAGCGACGAGATTAAGCAGCGGGTAACGAATCGTGGTCTGTGGACACAGCAAACAGAGCTATCTCCGCGAGGGGATTGGCGGCGAGGCGGGTCCGGCTGAGCGAAAATTTGTGTTTGCTCGGAACCAGCGTCAGAGACATGTCGGTCTTCCCGAACGTCGCTCTTGTCTCGTCCTCGAAGGACGCGGGGGCCGCGTGCCCGAAATTACAGGACCTCCCCTGGCCGGAGTTCGCGAACTTTGGAAACGTCTCGACGGCGAAGTCGTTCCCTTTGATCTTAAACCAGTCGACGACGCGATGAACGGTCACGGACGAGTTCTATCTCGGTTGCATCGGGACGGGCAGATTTCGAAAGACGAGGTTGGAATGGAGCGCGCTGGCTCGTAGCCGGGGTTCACGGTGTCGAGACGTTGCAAGAGAAAATGTTGAAGTGGATAAAAGTCCGTCAGGACGCGTCGGCCACGTCGACGACGTTCGATCGCGAGAAAAAGGACGAGGTGGCGAGGGTCAAAGTTGAAGATGTCATTGGAGAGGAGGAGGAGGAGGAGGTGGACAGCGGCATGGAGCGGGAGGACACGCCGTCCAACATCGAGTTGAACGATCTGAGAAAAGTATGAATTGTGCTATTAAAGGGTGTAATTTGGTTTGGTGATGAAAAAATAATTCACTGGCACTTAAAATGATTTTTTTAGGATTTTTATCAAAGTATTACTCATTATTTTATGTTTCTATAAAAATCGTGGAGGTTGAGAAATTTGAACTTCTGTTTTTAGATCTTCAAGTTCGATAAAGGTCAGGATATTTAAATTTGCCGCCTTCTTTTCGAGTAGGGGAATTTTACGCGTATTGCTCGTTCGGTGTGACAAATGTAAATTTTAAAATTTATTGCCGCTTCTTTCACGGTTGTTCGACATTTTTATTTTTGCCCGTTACGAGGCTCCGAATGTTATGCTTGTCTCGAGTTGTATTGCATTTTTTTCTTTTTTCTTTTTAATAACAAAAAGCTGTTTTCGCTTTTTAGTGCCGCATGTGTCCTCCGCAGCTGAGACGTTTGCAATGTTTTTGTTTGTATCTTTGCATGCTGTTTTGCGTATTAATGGGCAATTTTCTTGAGGAGACGTCACAGACGTTCTTGAGGAGATATTAAGGTTGGCATGATAAGAATTGAAACGAGCGAGGCTGTGTGCGGGGGCACTTACAGCAATACACATGGCCTCTCTTTAAAACGTCGTTAGAGCATAATTTCATGCTTGTGCCGCTCCAGCAGATTTTCTGTCCACTTCTCGATTTTATCTCATTTTCTTATGTTGCGGTGCAAGGTTTAACTATACCGATTATCCTTGCTTAAAGCAATAAACCATAAAATAGTTACGATATAATCGGTATCAAGGAAAGCCTCTATGTACTAATAATTGCAATTTTTAAAAAGCAAGTAAATTGAATATTTCTCTTTTCTATATTTATTTCGCTCTTAGTTTCTCCTAAACATCAGTTGCACACTTCGAAAGCATTCGGATGCAATTGCATTGACATTACAGTCGAGACTCAACGATGTTAAACTCGCTAAAATGCGTCTTTAAGTTCCTTTACGTGGAACTAACAATTTTCCGGGATCGTGTCGCGGCGAGATAAATCGTAGCGGTATGGTCGCTTTCATTCATCGATTTCACTCGCACAGCAATGTTGTTTCTGCAAGCCGTCTGGTTTTTTCGATACCAGGCTATAACCTGCTTGCAACAGGTGCGACATCCTTCTCGATGCACGTGGACGTACAGCCACTATCATCGTCTTTATGTCAGACAGCGTATAGCCACATCTATCACTACCATTACCACTGTTCTCCACTCCCAGCACCGGATACTGATCGAACGACTTTCATTGAAGAATTTCACCCGGCCATTTGTGGCTCTTTCCGTCCGACGCGTGTCTACCTTTTCCTCGATTTTTAACGAAACACTAGAAACCGAATCTTCTTCTCCTTCCCTTAAATTACATCGTATTATACCCCAGATTTGTTTAAGACTATGATATAATGGGTTTAAAAAAAATAAACACGTTTAAAAAACATCTTTTATTTTTAAATATAAATCTAAAACTTCATTCACAGTATTCTTCGAAAATACTCCAAGGGTAGTTACAACGATCGTTCAGTTGAATCACAATGTCTGAATAAAAATTAGATGATTCTTTTATAACTCTCGATGGAATTATTATTCAAATTTTCATATTTAACATTCTTTCTGTTTCGATTAATTTCTGGCATACAAATTGAAAGTTTGGATCATTAGTCCTTATTCTTGCCAGATATTTTCGTAGCAAGAATTCGAGTATTTCAGACTAACAGTCGTATTCTTATCGTTATCGAGTTATAACGCTCGATACCATGAAGTTTCCAGCGCGTCGATCGGTGGAAAAAGTTCGCGGATTGCCATTACGCGTCCGTTCGTCGTGTTGCATACTTCTTAGCCGCGTTTTTTTCTTTTTCTCTTTCTTCGTTGGAAGTTTTTCCTCGCCTCCGTCTCTCGAAATGCTGCGTTGAGCAACCACCCCGAAGCGGTGCACGGCGACTTTCTACGTGTGACCGTTGCTCGCCGATCGTTCGAAGATTAGTTACGAAACTAACTCGTTTACCCCGCGCCAACAGTGTGGATCGCAATTTACCCGCGGTATTTTTGCACAATCGCTTCCACAGAACGCATCCCGGTGGCATATCAAGAGAGAAGAGTCGAAATCGCCGGGTCGCGGTTTCCACGATGATAATAGCCAGGGAAACAAACTTTCCACTCGCGGTTCTTTCGAAACAGCTCTGAAGACCATTCGAATATTTCAGAGAGTTCAGGAACAATTTATTGAAATATATGTTATTCGTTGTATTAATGCATAATAGTTTCCGAAGAAGGCTCGTAATAAGTGCAAGCTTACAGTCAACTTCTGTTCATTTTGTGATAATCTCGTGCTGAATAACATTGGAGCAGAATTGAATTGAAATTCAAATATCAATATAAATTTTAAATATTACATTTAAATGTAGAGCAATTGAATGAGGAGTGTTTTACCCCTATTTCGAAATCATTTGCCCTTTCATTCATGGCGCGGTGATATGCTGATTAGGGAAAAGAAAAGGCGCGTTCGTTCTTCGCGATGACTAAACGGGAGATTTCGTTCGGGTCGCCGCTCCGATTTACATACGCGCCTGGATTTGCATACGTTTATGTAATGGGAAATTGAGAGTGCGTGGGCGTTATGAGTTTCCTTTTGCGACCGGCAACGATTCAGACCTCGGTTTCACGGTGGAGTAATTTGGTTGTTGGGTTACGTTCGTTTCTTTCTTTGGCCAACTAGACGAACTACTGGTCTTCGGCGTTTCCTCGATTTATATTATCAAAATAATAAATGTACACAATCAGACAATATTTACAGCAAAATTCACATTCCGTTGCATCGTCGCGACATGAACCCTGCAAATAATATTGCACAACGGTGCTTACGTTTCTTATAAAATTTGTGCCGTAATTGTTACTCAACGTTCAGGGGCAAAAATTGCACGCGATATTGCACAAGAATAAAATGTCTCGTCTCGCGACCACGTGGATCGAGTACACCTTGGGCGTCGATAGCCGCGTAAAAAGAGGAATATTTACAGCCGTCGTGACACGTGGAGTGTCTTCGCCATTATTCGTGTCCTGTTTCGTACACAATACATCAGCCTGTCGCGTCAAGGTACGGCTCTTCTTCGCCAGAAGGTTTATCGCTCGACGCTACGACGCGAGTCGCACTTTTTCCAGGGGACTGTGTCACCTAAAAATGGACTGAATAAAAACGACATCGAAGACACCTGGAAATTCTCCGGAAACTAAATTTTTACGTCAAAGTGGAAATTGTTTTTTTTTATAAGTAACGTCAGATTGATCGAACCTTCTGGTTAAGACAATAGCAATGATCGAAAATACAGATTCTTTTTTTGCCTCGTGGACGTCGTTCAGGGACGTTCTTTGTAGCTGTTAGGTCTATTTGGGGCAGAAGATCGTCGACACTAAATGTTCATCACCTTGTGTGTTGCAGGACCTGTTTTCTCAGCTCCAGTTTTCGCAAGAGAGCGCCTTGCCGCCCGACACGCTGCGCCGTGCTCTGGCCGAGAGCTTTCTGGATCAGCAAAGGTTTCAGCTCGGATTCATGGACGACGCGGCGGAATGTTTCGTAAGTGGCAATTGCATACCTTGTTCCCTTTGTCCTATTACGCGCGAACGGCGACCGATGTGTCGACACGCTGCACGCGAATCTAGGCAAAACGGGTTTTCGTCCGGTGTCCAGCCGACTCCTTGCAATTTCGCGCCGACCTGGAATGCCAGTAGGTCGTTATGTCGAATTAGAACGCTGCTGGCGAAGCCACGGATTAGGCGTGGATCGAGGCACGAGTCGCGAATTGGACTTTTATAGACCATAGCGTTGGAAGACTCTTTGAATCGATCGATGCTCCATTAAGGATATCGAGAAATTAGAATTACTGCAATCTCGCTCTGGAAAATCTACATAAAATATATATATTGTTTCTCGAATTGAAAATCCATGAGAGGGAAATATTCTTTTTTGTTTCGTACGTAAACTGGCTTAGAAAGGGAAAGTATGTACCAAATCGTAGAAAGCATACAACATTTAACGATGTTTTATAATAAAATCATTTAGGGGTTGTGTAACCACTTACGTCCTGAAAATTTCACTCTCCAACATGTAAAGAATGGTTATACAATGCGCGGCTAGTTCGTAGCGAGAAGAAAACAGAACAAATTGTAAATCCAATTGAACGTGATAGTGAATGCGCCTGAGGGGAGCATAAATATGTAAAACTTCGATTTAATGGACGGAATTCTATGGTCTATTGTCCCGATATATCCTCGAGTTAGAAGCTCTGATCTAAGCAAAAGACTTGAAAGTATCCTCACATCGAGGGTCATCGTACAGTTTGAAACTTTTGATAAAGATTGGAAAATTGATATTCTCGTTCTCGTGCAAATGATTTACATAGAATGAATAGAAAATGGGGAAACGAGCGCGACATTAAAATTGTCACGATGACAAACGTCGTGACATTGAATGTCACGGCATTAAAAGTCGTGACTTTACGTCACGTGATAATGGACCTTAAGAAATTAAAGATTGAAGGCAGCGAGGCGGATAACGATCCTGAATGAATGGCGCAGCGACGCGACCGAACAAAGCGCGTAATTTTTGCTAATTGCGCAACACGTAACTCGAGCAGCGTATTGCTGCGCCGAGGAGCGCGAAAGATAACGGGGCAACGCGATTAAAAGCGTCCTTACATTTATTACATTCGCGTGGCGCGACTGCATTCGTAACGTTACATTCATTTTATTCAACGAGCCGATGTCGACACGCGCGCGCACACACACACCGCGGAAAGACATGCACGTGACTAAACGTGACTACGGTGTAAACGAGAAAGTGGACTCCCGCCAGTGTGTTTGCTTAGGCCAGTCTTTCTCAAACTGTGCTTCGCGAATCCCTTTGGGACCACCAGCTCTCCTTACGAAAAAGGAAGCAATTACGTACCGAAATAAAAGTAACGATTCTCGTGGTCTTTGAGTAGTAAAAACATTAAAGAAGATACATATCCCAGTCAATTTCTGTGAAACGTCCATTTTAGTAACTTTGGTAAAGTTTGTTGACCTTGGAGGAAAAGCTGATCATTTATATCATGACCAAGGTATAATATTAATTTTATATTTCAAGGGTAGTTTGAATCGTTTTTGGATTAGTTGAACGAAGAGAGAAGACTTTGGTGCAATCAACGAAAGCGAAAAAAGTTGGGAGACACTGTTTTAGACTCACCTACGGATATCGTTACAGCAATCCGTGATAGTTAGCAACCATAACGTAGAACTGGTTCGGCCGTCAGAATATTCAGGATCGCAAACTGCTCGGAAAATAGCCTCCGCGACTGGCAGTGGAAATCGGCGAATGTCGAAAGAGAGATTTATGCCAGCGTTTATGTCGGCGCGTGCAACAGCCAATAATTCCTCGGGATAAGCAAAAACCTCGATCCAACGATCTATACCGATTCAATATAGTGATTCGTTTCTTTGTTGCTTCTAAACGACGCGTGTTATGAATCAGACCACCTTTCGTTCTTCAAAGTAACCTTCTTTTTGTACTGTTTTAACATATATTTAATACGATGATAAACCAATTTGTTTTACTGAATAGTATTGAGCGATATGGACTATAAAAAACTTGATTCGATATATTATCAATATTCCACCAATAGTAATATTCATTACCCCAATAATAGATAAAAACTTGTTCACCAGAGTTCCGTATAAGCCTGTTACTATTTCGCATAAATTCTTTGCCTGAAAGGTACATACATAAAAGGGCTATAAACAACGAAGCATTTTAATCGAATTACATGTATTAAAACGATTTCGATTCGTCTCGAGTCGAATCTCGCTCTTGCAACGCCCGTATGTCGAACGAAACGGTTTCTAGCGTTACGATCGTAAAACTTGGAATACTGTGGGATTAGGTAACGCTCCGTCGTTAAAATCGCAACGAGCACGTAGGAATTAATAATTTGTGGTCGTCGCGCGAGCGGAATGATCGTCCATGAACAATTAGACGCGGAAAGATCGAAGGAATCGAGCTTTATAAAATTACTGTGATCGACGGTTGTCGACGACTCTTCTATTTTTAGCGATCTATCATCCGAGGGAAACAATAAACCGAGTGCGCGTTAACGGAATTCTCTCGTTGCAGGAAAACATTCTTCTGCGTATACATCTGCACATCGCCAGCGGGGAAGCCGAGGATATGTGCAGCGCGAGACACTGTGTGCCACATCAGAAATTCGCCATGACGCTCGTCGAGCAAAGCGTTTGCGGAGCTTGCGGTGCCACTTCGGAACCTCTGCCTTTTACACAGGTCGGTTTGATCGATGTTATTTTCCACGAAGCCAATGGTAATCAGCGCCGGTAACCGCGTGGCGCGACAGCAAACGACGAGATCGAGTTAAACCCTAATTACCTCTCGCCCTACTCGTCTACCCTTTTTCGAACGTTTTAAAGTTTCTTTGTTTTATCTCGCGGAAACATCGGTTCGTTTGTATCACGACGAAGTCAACAAATGGTATTCTTGGTTCTTAATTTGGCATTTAAGATTATCACCTTTCGGTAAACGTTAGCTAAGCAGGAAGCCCGAAACAAAGTGTCGCTTAATGTCACGAAGAATATGAGGGAAAGTTGGACTTCCTTCATGCAAACGAGTTACTCGACGTCCCGATAATATTTACTAATGAAAATATCATGAGAAATTTTTACCAGCAACCGACTCCAGGAACGTGTTTCGTGGCAGACGCTCGGAGATGTTGCATCTTCGCAATTCTCGTACGCGTTGGCAATAAAAATGGTCGCGTTGATAGCTGTGACTCGCGGACACAAATCGTGTTTCTTGCGAAACTTTCCATCAGACTTCAAGGATAAAGTCGAGAACTGGTCTCGACGTCTACTATTCTCTGCGCCCGTGGGTACCCCATCTGTCGACGCGATTTTTCATCGCCCAGACAACGCGGAGTTTTCCGTTTCCCACGTTGTCTTCGCAGGTGGACCGGGAAAAACGAGAAAACCTGAGATTTTCAGGTAGTAACAGGAACCTGGTTCCTTTGTGCGATCCCGGAAACCTCGAAATCGACGCGTTCGAGGGGTGGCGTGGGTTAGGCGAGTGGGCGGAGGAGAAGATAAAGGGAAGTTGGCCTCCTTGGTGGGTTTAAGCGATTTAAGCGACTTAGGTAAGAAGCCTAAGTGCGCTCTAGTACCGAACGACCGGGTCGCAGCCATGTAAACGGATTAGAATTTAAACTGATCAGGATTTGACGCCTCATTAGTCGCGGCCGAAAGGGTGAAACTGGGGTGGGTAGGATTTTCGAGGCAAACTATCGGATCAAGGATACTATTTCGCGCGATGATAAACTATGATTTGGTTAAGTGGATCATACGAAGTTTACTTTGTTGAAATTCGATGAGGAAAAATTTCACTGCAATTTTTAATAGTGAAAGAGAACGTAAAAGATATTACGATATTATTGGTTAATTTACGTCACTCCTGGCTCGAGCTTTGTTTCAAACTTTGTTGCTTCAACATTTCTTCGAGCAAACAACGAACTACGTACTTTGAAATTTATTACAGTTTCAAAGAATCTTGTTCTACTATTTATGCCAGTTTGAGGTATACTGTCGTACCAAAATATCTAAGTATAAAATCAGAGTTTTCTCAATTGTAAAAACACTTTACCGTTCAACTGTTAATGAACTACCTTCTTTTGGGATTATTAACAATTTCTGTTTGTCTAATTTTGGAAGTTTATCCGTTCGATACTTGCACCTTACGATTATCGATTCGATGCAGTTGTTTACATTCTCATGGCCGTGCTATACAGATCAGCTACGTGTCGATACCTACGTGTATAAAGGGAATAACATGCTGAGTAAAACCGTAAAATCGCGTTAGAGCAGAAACCTGTCTACAAAAAGTGTTCTATCAGCGTTTGAAATCGTCTCCCGCGGTTCTGAGTCATCCCCAGGGAATTTCCATCGGTTTAAATTGATCGCCATTCAGGTTTCGAAGGCAACCAAACACGCAAGTTTAAAGGGATCCTTGAGAATTTATTTGCGGAGAAATTATATTAACTGAAATCTTTGGGTTAAAGTTGCCAGTTTAAATTTGCCTTTAACTTTATTTTTCCGACCGGATGAACTCAAAAATTTGTTTAAATCTCCAAAGATATTTTAACGTTGAAACAAGGACGAGGATGATTGTTGGATTGTTAGCAACAATGTCAGATATAATCAGGAGTGACGCATGCTCGAATAACTTTTATCGTTTTCCTCGCAGTTTCCTCGTTGGACGCATGATTATTTCCGTCTCAGTCAACCAAGAAAGTGAAACTCAACTATTTTCTTTCCGTTTGTATTCGATAACTATATATATCGTGTTCAACGAGTTTCAACGAGTTGAAATTGCATTTCAATGAAACGCTGCTGCATAGAGACCGGATTCAAAATGCTAACAATAAAACAACTTTCTTTCATTTATTTTTGTACATTTTATTAACCGAAAGAATATATGATTCTTTTAAAAAACTCTACTTTGTTTAAAGTATATAGTTCGCTCAAAGTTCGTTTTAATTAAGGAACAGCAATGTTATTAATCGAAAGATGATGAATCGTGTGAAGGATTCATTAAGGATGGCTACGCAGAATGGTGCAAAAAGTGTATACAAAAAGTCATCTTGAAGTTGCATGCGTACGACGTATCTGACGGTGTGTAAAGGGTTAATTAAATTTCTAGTTACCAGCATGAAATTACTTCCCACGAACTTTGAGTAAGAAAGTAAGACTACCGGCAGCCGCGAACAAATGCAATAACGAAAGTCACATTTCTCCTCCAGTACTTTATAATTACGCTTTTTCTGTAATAAGGTTACACAATTTTCCGAGAAATTCGCGGTCAACGCGTCGAGGAAAAATGTATTTTTATCGTTGGTTGCATGTTTTCAGTGCGTTTTTGTCTTCGAAGTTACTTCGTTGCATAATTCCAGGGTTTCTTCACTCCATCCAATTTGCAATTTTATGTATCGTTATTTATTGTTTGATTTTCATGTTTTTACCAAGCCTGGTTTTACAAAAGATTCGTAGTTTCCTTATATTTAAAGTTCTACACAATTTTTTGCAGATTTAAATGAATTTTTACTGAGAATACGTGTTCCAAATTTCATTAAATTCGTTTGAACAGTTTTTAATTTATTATCAATATCAGATCGGGAAGTATAGTTTCCAGAAAGATGCATTTAAAGTTTTAAACGACGCACAGTTGAGCAGACTTCGGTTTATGGGGCCATATATTTGTAATTATTACTTTTCTAGACCGTCTTCATATTATTTTTAAAGATCGAAACCATCGTTTCAAGGAAGATTAGTATTTTTGTTTCTTGAAATCGTCAAGATGTAACCCTTTAATTTACTATTAATATATAGTAAATTGTAGATAGTTTTATGAAGAGAATTTCTCCTAAATTTGACCGTACAAAAATCAGCAATATATTTTCCAATCCAATGGACAATTGGAAGTATTCTGAAGTACGTAAGAACAAAAGCAATGCCCTTTCGAGCACGTATATGGTACGTCGTGTGCATAATCGAGTCCAGAGCGCAAAACACTCACGTGGGTGGAGTTGTTCCCCCTTCTTGCATTCGTATCGACTGTTGTCGGCCGATTGTAAAAACGTGAAACTCGTTGCAATCTCGTATCGGTCATGGCCGATCGCTTTTACCGCCTCCTGTTGGCTATTAACTCGAAGGAGCGATCCATGATATAAGGGAGAGCTCGATGCTAAAACTTTCGATCGCACGGAAGCAAACATTTTTCCGTTAACAGCGAATTGGCCAATGGGTTCGTGTTAAAAGATTGAAAGAAACGAGGAAATTTGATCGTTCGGCAAAACGTCAAAAACTACAATAAATGATCCATAACTGAACTTGTGCCAAACAGTTCCCAATTTCATGAATTTTCTGGCAAAAATTGTAATACGATTCCTCGTATATTAACAACGTTAAAAATGTCGAATGACTTTATTTCTTATCTAGCTTTGATTGCAAATTCTTTGAGGTACACGTGCACTTAATGGTTCGATTTGATCTCGTCGTAAACCGGTATTTTCATTCTTGTTTATCGAGGATGAAGGAGTAAGAACGTGTAGCGAATTCTTTTTATTGTTCGTTTGATAAATAACTTAAAACATATTGAAACATCGAGGGGCACGATAACTCGAAGTAGCGTAGCTTTTAAATGGAAATAGACCGAATATTCCAACAAAATATTCGATCTTATAAATTGTCCAGCTATCGAATCCTTCGACCATATGGTTACTTTCTTTGCAGATGGTTCATTACGTGTCAGCATCGGCATTGACGTCGCAAGCGAGACAAACACCGCCAAACGCTCGTAACAGCCCGGATCTCTTCGGTCAGCTTCTGCGGAAAGCTGGAGGCATGGGTGACATCAGGGACTGTCCGGTGAGTAAACGCGATTTCTACGAACGAGATAGCTTTCCGGGATCCATTCCCGTCGGCCGTGTAAAAATTTCTTCACCGCGAGCTATTCGCGGCTGCGTGCACCTTGAACGATAGTCTTACCGGCGATACGAGTTCGATTCATCCTGTTCGCAAGATCAGGTACACTCTCCTTCGGCCTTTCTTGGAAATAATATCTCGCGGGCGTGGACTTTCTCTCTGAAGTGGAACGGTGGCTACTATCCTCGGACGCCACCGAGTATACTTCGTCGCTACATATGCTGTGGATCGCATTTGGAATTTTATGCAATGGAAATTTTATATATTCTCCAAATATTCTGCATTGAATATTACTAAGGGCGTTTAACGAGTAGTAAGAATTTTAGTGCCAAATGAAAAGAAATTATTAATAGCTGGGTGTAGTATGTTTGAAACTAGAAGGAATAGTAAACGAGGATCTCATCTACAAATTAGTCTTTCAATTGCATTTTAAATGAAGTGAAAACGAGTTCCTTTGATCCATCGTTGCGCAGCTTATTTCACTTCAACGACTAAAAGTGTTCTTCTTGTAGACATTTCTTCAGTTCTGAAGATGTGTCTTCAACGAGTTAAGCAGAAAATTGCGGCTCCATCCGCCGTACTCATTAGGTCTCGACCCGAATGACTTTCGTTTTAGTCGATGGATGAGACGAAACGAGCTGAAGACAATGGACTAACACTAAACCTTACCGACACTTTATGTATACCCATTTCTACCAAGACCGGTCTTTCTTTATTTAAATTCATTTTCAATTAAATAAACAATTTATAAACCTGTCGTATAATCAATAGGAATTGCAGAAACGTCTTTGAGTATATAGTATCAAAGTAAATGTCAAAATAAACATAGAAGATAGCATAAATTATAGTAGTTGGTATAGTCATTGGATAGAGGATGAAATGCCCTTTAAAATGAGCGTTTGATCAAGTCGATAGCTTTATTAGTTCCGGAGATATAGCGATTTTAGTTTCAAGTCGATGCGGTGGCTAGTTCCAAAGATATAAGGTTCCGAAGCGTTTGTTTACGTTTCATTGTTTACGTCGCGTGATCAATGGCCGCGCGTGAGCGTAGTAAATAGTAAACATTACGTCACTCACTCGGTCAGTGGGTCAACGTGCGACAAGGAGGTCCGACGCGACGCGTTAGACAAAGACAGCGATAGTCGAAATGAGAAAAATTACCTTTTACATAAATTACGATATCTCGAAAACGAAAAGTCCGATCGACAAAAACCAAAAGCCATTTTAAAGGGGAAGCTTTACCGCTTCTAACAATAGCTTGATAACTAATAAAACAGTAATAGTTTCGGAACTGCAGGCGTCTAAAGTTTTATGATTTTTAATACGCGTTAATAGGCATTTCCAAGGCGGAGAGCGCTATCGTAGTGGAAATTGAGAAATTACTCTTTCACTTAAATTACGATATCTCGAAAACGAAAAGTCCGATCAACAAAAACCAAAAGCCATTTTAAAGAGGAAGCTTTACCACTTCTAACAGCGGCTCAATTATGAAGAAAATACTAATAGTTTCGGAACTGCAGGTGCCTAAAATTTTACTATTTTTAATACACGTTATTAGACTGTTCTGAGATCGTGGAAACTGAAGATATGAGATCAACTGTGAAAATGATTTTCGAAATGTTTCAGAGTTCCTGCGGTGCCAAAATCCAAATCTGTAGAACGCTGATGAACAGACCGGAAATCGTTTCGGTTGGAGTTGTATGGGACAGCGAACGACCATCGTTGGAGCATATCATGGACGTTTTCGCAACCGTGGGAACGTCACTGCGGCTGAGCGATGTTTTCCACAGTGTGGTGGACTCCCGATGGGGTGCCTCGACGGTGCACAATCTCGTTGGAGTCGTCACTTATTACGGAAAACACTATTCCACCTTCTTTTTCCACACTAAACTGAAGGTCAGCATCTGTGCTTCGCTCCTAAGTAACCCAACAAAACTAACAATTTAATTATCATTATTTAAATCGTAAATAGAAATAATAATAGAATATCGTAATAGAATAATTTTCCATTAATTAAAATCAGATCGTATTTCCTAAATTAACTTAGCAATAAAATCCAAAGAATTTACTGTTTGAAATATTAAGATATATCATTTCTGATGGAAGGAAGGACAAGTTACAGACCTTATTAATAAATCTTTCTCGTTTCATTTTTTAATAGAAAGCATGTTAATCGTGTTTTGCAGGTCTGGATTTACTTCGACGATGCCACTGTCAAGGAAATCGGTCCTCGTTGGGAGCAAGTCGTGGAAAAGTGTAGAAGGGGGCGATATCAACCGTTGCTCTTACTATACGCAACTCCTGGTGGAACTCCTGTTAACACGGAGAACGCCCCGAAGACAGTGACGCCTTTTCCAAACGGAAATGGTCTGAAAACGCCACCGAAGAATAATGTTCGTCGATCGATTACCCCGAGTCCAGAGAAACCATCGATCAACAGCACTGCTAGACGTGCCATTACGCCGAATCCTGATAGTCCTCCCCACCCCTACACGCAGCGGAGGATTTATAGCGATTATCAGAATCTCACTGACATTCAAAACAACATCTTTGGCAATCAAGTAAGATCCCATGAGAATTCACAAGTTAAAACAGCAGACCCCCATTATTGTCCAGTAAAATAACACTGTGCAAACATCACAGGCACCCAATTAAAAGTGTTTCTTTATTCCTTTTACTCGGTCCATTAAGATCCACAGACTGTCAATTTATTCCTAAATCGTCTTTAATTGTATAAGAAGCAGAGACACCAAAAATTTCCCTTTAACAACCACCGCGTTTTTCCTGATTGCAAAGGGTGTGGACGTGGTGGACGGTGAGACAGAGTCGAAGTACATCAGTCGTCGAGCGGTGGAGACCGTAATGCAACAACAAAAGAAGCAACAGATGCAATTGACGCGTAGTCTGAGCGCAGGATCGACGCCGCAGGACGGCATCAGTATTCCGGATCACATGAACGTGCCACGAAGAAGAGATTCTGGTAACTGGTCGGGCGACCGGAACAGCGCCTCCTCGAGTTCCTCTACGACGATGGACAATCCGTATTTGTACATCGTGAACAAAATGCAGAGGAACTCGGGGGTACCCAAGAGTCCGACCAGCAAGTCCGGAGAGCTCTCTAGCAGCAGCAGCGGCCATTACGATGCTGGATACGATTCCTATTCTTTATCTTCCACGGATAGTCTTCCGCTTCAGCAGGGTCTGAAGCATAACCTACAGGTACATATCGCGTTCTCTGGCTCTTTGAGGAGGAACCACGTTCATTTTTAATTTAATGTAAAACCTATGTGGAATTGTTTGTTTTTTTTTAACGTAGCTCGCCCAGATCCCGGAAGGCTATCAAGCTGCCTCGGGAGACGATTGCGAGCGTCTCTGCAAAGAAACCGACGCCCTCTTGGATAAATCCAGAGCTGCTGAAGACGCTGGTGACCTCAGCACTGCGGTAGCTTTGTGCAGTGCAGCCAGTAGCAAAGCTAGGGCTGCCATGGACGCGCCATACAACAATCCTCATACGATCACGATAGCGAGGATGAAGCATAATACTTGCGTGATGAGAACGAGGAGCTTGCACAGAAGGATGCTGCAAGAACAAGCCACGGCCAATGGCGAGAAGGAAGGTCAGTTGCTTGAAAATTATTTAAATCCTCTCTCGGTTCCTACAATCTTAAACTACAAGTTTAAAGTTCCGTTTCCGCCTGTAGTAGTGGTTCTCACTTAGCATGACAAACTCTGCCTACTGGCGTATCAAAAGCCTTACAGTTTTCTTAGTAATTTTTTAATTCTTGATTTTCGTCTTATTTTGCGCTCTAGAATCTCCCATTAAAATTTTTCTCAGGGTTAGCAGAACACCCTGTACGAAGTGCTTAAATAGTGCTTCGATTATCCAACGATCGCGGAGCTAAAATTGCGTTCGTGGTTTCAGAAGGCGCGCCAGAAGGTAGGCATTCGCGAGAGAACAGTAAATCCGGTCAACACTCTCGTCAGAGTTCCAGAGACAAGGGTAGCCATTCCAGGCAGAACAGTCGTGAACTTTTGGTGAACGCGCCAGCAATGGTCGCGGACAAGCCCGCCTCGAAGAGCATCGAGATCTACGCCACGCTGCCGAAGAAGAAGACTCTACGGAGCAAAGCCACGGCCGTGAACGTGATCGAAGACGAAGAGTACATGCTGTACGATCGACCGATTCAGAGGACGGGTCTGTTCAGTCGTACGAAACGATGCGACGACGACAAGAAGGACAAGAAACGCGCTCGAAGCGAAGAGAGGAACAAGAACGTCTCGAAGGATTTCTCTATAGCGCCGTCTCGATCCTCGCCGTCCCCAAAGGGCTCGAAAGTCGAGAAGCCTAAGGAAAGCAACGACGCGGCGAACAACGCGCGAAACTCCCAGGCAAACGGTTCCAACGGCGAGCAGAAACAGGGGAAGAAGCAGCACAAAATACGTAGGAAGTTGTTGATGGGCGGGCTGATAAAGAGGAAGAACAGAAGCATGCCGGATCTCCGGGAAGGGCAGGACAATCAAACGAACGCAAGCGTCGAGGGATCCTCCAACACCTTGCCAAAGCAGTCAGTGGACGATTCCAGCGTTGGATTGAAGGGCAACGAAGTGTGCCAGTCTCTAAGCGGTTACTTGTCAGAGGGACACTTGGAGTTTACCGGTAACAACAACGGTAATCCTAGCAGTACGAGCAACCCGAACTTGGAGAGAAGTCGACTGATGAGGAAAAGCTTCCACGGCAGCGCCGGCAAAGTGTTACACGTAGCGAAGGTACCTCCGCCCCCTCCGCTCAGGACCACTTCTCAGCTTAGCAAGTCTAAGTGTTCGGGTGAAGTGCACAACGAGCAGCAATCCGAGAAATCGGTGTACCCGTTGTCGGAAGGACAGTGCCCGTCGAATCCGCCTCAAGAACAGAACGGATCCTATTGGAATCACGTGAACACCGGAGGGAACTCGTCCAGCGGGACCAACAGGAGCGCCAATTACACCGACTACTCCTCCGAGTCTCATTCCCTTCCGTTTTTGCCCACTTACACTATGGAACAGAGCCCTGCCAACGTCCCCGTATCCTGCCAATCGAATTACAACAACAAACCACGGATCCAAGACGACGTGGTACAGTACGCCAATGGGATCTTGTACGAGCCAACGTTCGTAGTGACTCGAGCGGACGTGCACAACGAGCAGAGTCCCGTGAAGCAACCCAATCAAGGAGATCTGTTGCCTCCTTACCCCGAAAACGGAAACGTCTCGCATTCGAGGCAACCCAGCGAGGACTTCCCTCCCCCGCCGTATCCCTCGATTCATTCGGTGTCCCATTCGAGACAAGCCAGCGAGGACTTTCCACCCCCGCCGCCGCCCATCGACGACACTTCGAGTCACGGTCAAGAGAACCAACAGCAGTATCAGCAACAACAGTATCAGCAGCAACAGTACCTTCAACAGCAATACCAGCAGCAGCAAACGGCGGTTCTTATGCAACAACGTCAACAACAGCTGGACAATCAACAGATCAGCACTCTGTTGACGCAGTTGCAGATCAAGAGGGATCAAATTCTGGCTTCGAAGGCCAGGGAGGATCGAAGGCCGGACGAGCAGGAGGAGGAGGAGAAGTCGGCCAGCGAGACCTGGCTTCGCGAGTTGCAGGCTAAGCAGGCGGAGAGGAGGATGAAGAAACAGAGTCCTTTGGATCAGGATATACCGAAGGTCAGGTGTTCGGGCCCAACGATCTCGGGACCAACGGTCGCGAGGAGAACCAGCGATCTGATGATGAACAGTTTGGGCCAGGCTTACGAACAAGCTGGTCGCGACGTCCCCGACTGTCCACGAGTCGTCTCGTCCGTGAAGGACATGGCGGCCAGATTCGAGCAAATAAAATTGCAACCTGTCGCGAAAACGGAGCCCGAGCAGAAGCTTCCGACGAAGCAAAACGCGAACTGTATCTCGTCCTCTCCGCTGTTGGACATGCCTCAAGACGTCCAGCAGACGGAGGAGTCGAGACCGTTGAAGCTTTCGTCGGAGAACGTGGCTGCCTTCACCAAACCCGAAACTCCGTCGGGCCAGTCGATCTTGAACTCGAGTTTCGAGTCGAGTTCGAGCCAAAACACCTTCGTCCCGACAGCGACGCCCAACAATCCCGCCAATGCACAGCAGAGCGGACTGAACGCCGCCATTATGTCCATGTCGTTGACTCTGCCGCACGAAAACGGACTCCCGATCGACTATCCCGAGGACGACATCAGCGAAGTCGCTATGCAGAACACCATTCAGAACACGACGATCTTGCCCAACGAGGAGGACATCGCGCCGAGGAAGGTGAAACGACGAATCGGAAAAAAGAAGAGCGTGTCGTTTTGCGATCAGGTGGTTCTCGTGGCCACCGCGGAGGACGACGAGAAGGACTCTTACATACCCAACCCCATTCTCGAGAGGGTGTTACGCTCGGCGATGAACAAGCCAGAGACCGCTCAAGTTCTACGGGAGATCAGAAGCCTGCAAGAGGCGGAACTGAACCGTGAGAATTGCACCGCCATCAAGTTCCAGCAGCAGACACTTCCGCTAAAGAGCGAAGCCGACAGCGTTCCAGCGACACCTTACCAAGATCAGCTGAGAAGCGTGAATCCAATACCCATTCCCGATACGATCAAGCCCACCTTTGGAAGACAGAATTCGAACGAGTCGGTGGGATCGTTGTCGGAGAAGAAACACTGCGGTCCGTACGTCAACGAAGGCCAGGACGTGGTCAGAGAAACGTATTCGGGGATCTCGAACGTTTCCAAGCCGCCTACTTCGTACTCGCCTCAGTTGCAGCAACAGATCAGGTACTCCCGAAACATGCCGTACTTGCAATCGCAGTCCGCGTATCCCCAGACCCAGACGTCTCATCCGAGGAACCAGGGTATTCCGATCTCGCAGACGCAGAAGCCAGCCAGCCCGTATCCCACCCAGATGCACGGTCAGTACGTTCAAAACAACGTGCAGCAACAGAAGCCAGCGTGCCAGAAGAACTCCTATCAAACGTACTATCAGTTGGAGCAACAGCACAATCAGATGAACAAGCAAATGTCGCAGCAACAGCAGCAGAACATGAACCAGAGGATCACGAATCACAACGCGAGCCCCATAACGGTGCAACACTCTCAGCAACAGTTCGCCTATCCGACGACCCAATCGCCGAGCCCTTATCAGAATCAGTACACTCACAGTTCCTATCAGGGTTATCCCTATCAGTCCGTTCCTCAGCAAAACAGAATGAGTCAACCGTTGCCCCAGTATCAACCGCCGCCCAATCCGCCGGCCTCCTATCAGCAACAGCAGCAGGGTGTTCAGAATTATCAACAGAGGCACGACAATTACCAGAGACCGCCCCAGAAAGCCGATCAGCAGAACATTTTGGCGCCCAATCAGACGTATCCGAACCCGTTGCAGAACGGTCAGATACAATCAAACATGAAATACCCGACCTATCAGCATCCGCCTGTGTCGAAGCAGAACAAACAGATGCACTTTGTGTCCGCCGCGAAGGGGAACGCGACGGTTCCTCAGAACGCGACCCTGCAGAAACCAGCTGTCGGAGGCGCGGCCAGAACGGCACCCTGCCATCTTTGCCGGAAGAAGCAAGTGACGGAGCCTGCGATTTACTGCTCGGATTGCGACTTTTACATGTCCAGATTCCGGCCAAAGAACTGAAATCGTTTGTAACGACGAACGAAAGTGCGTGGTTGGCGAAAGGAATACAGTGAGGTATGCTTGGTGGAATAAATATAACATTTACTGCAGGAGTGAGTCGAAAGACGTTATGGACAGCAAGCAGGACATGCAATAGCCAATAGGCCGCTACGATATAGAGGAGAACTTATTAACAGAAGTCTCGAAGCTGACTTTGAGAGAATAGCCTGGTCTAGAACTTAGAAAATATTGATCTTCCTTCAAATTTTAGGCGTAGAATATATACACTAACGGAATATCAAAGTGGAAGAGTTAGTAGAACTTATGAATGTTTGAATATATGAACGCAGTCATGATTAAGCTTTGTGTGTGGGGGGCCATCTTTGACCACACGAACAGGAATGGGAGAACCTCTTGAGAGTTCTTTGAAGCCATTTTTCTCGAAACAGTATGTTAGACACGGTATCTCGAGATGTAATTAATCGACTGACACATAAAGTCCATCAGTCGTATCGTGTAAGATAGGATAGTATATCGAAAAGTTTTATAGTCGTTGCATAATCGAGATGTAAATTCCTCAAAATATCAAAAATCGAGTTTCTTTCTTAGGAAGAATTATTATTCTGCAATTTTGACTTTGTAAATTTTAGGTCACGCTATGGAACAACTTTATTTTATGTCCTTTAACGCAATATGTAGGGTATAACTCGAGAATGTGCAATCATTAATGCTTGAAAGGTGTATACAAGTACTCGAAGCATAAGTGTACGAAATTTGGAATTTAATACTTTTTTTTTTTATAATTTATATATAAAGGATGTTTGAATCCGCTCGCTAGACCAGACCACCCCCTTGAGCAAATCGCTATATTTGTTCCAACGACTATACTCGAGTGGCGTGCAGAGAGAGACACTAATAACCATTAATTCTTAGATTACACCCAGTGTTTAGAATGTATACAAAGTCGATCCTGGGGGCCCGACTCTTCGGTCGGTTATATTTCATCCACCCAGTATACTTTGTTTAACGCTCGTAGAGTTTGTTGTTACAGATGAGAACGATCGCGCGGAGAGAAAAAAACGTTATTGAACGTTGCGAGTAGAATTTTATTCGCGAGCGTTGTTGCTTCGCTTCTTTCGGTAATGTTACACAGATTTAGATCGATCCGGTTGTTATGAATGGTAGCAAATTTTATTTGTTAATTATAGTAGAGCTTTGTTAAACGAACGTGCGATTGATTTGACGAACGAATATAATAAGGAGACCCCGCGCCCTGCTTTGTACAAAGTTAATTTAGATGTAGACATGTATCATTGAAGACCTTCGTCGTGCAGCTATTGATTATGTTCGTGTATTATCGACGATACGTTCAGCGTGTCTTGTAATTTATAGTAGATCGTGTAGAAAGAATGTATTCGAGTTGATAAGGTTAAACTACCGCGACAAATAATTGTTTTTTTTCTTTATTATTGTTTATCACTCGCTTCTCTTAATTTTAATTCTGTTGTACATAGGATCGTTCCAGCTTAAGTTTAAGTTTTTGTATAGAATCGACCTTTCGGTTAGCATGTACGGTTAGATTTAAGAGAGTTAGGTTTTAGGAGCAAGCGTTTCAATTTTTTTACGCACACGTTTGACTCTGCATTGTACTTCGTTTCGAGAGACAGAATGTCAGAATTGTGATACTAGCCATGCTACATAGAGTTTTATCGTTAAACGTAGAAGAAAAAAAACCGTATCGAGAGCCGCGCCGATTATAGTCGCACGAAAATCGTAAATGTAGAGAAAGCGTGGAGGGAATATGATCTCTGATGAAAGCGTGAAGTTTTATTTTATGTTGATAGGCGTCGATGTTTATACATACATGTATTGTGTACTTAACGGTTACGTTACATCATACGATTGTCTACGTGCTAGATCGATGTACAAATCCACGGTTTTATACGTTTTGTATGAGTATTTTGTTTTAAAAATACTTGATTTCCTCCCGTATGACATTGAATAAAGCGCTGTCAGAATATGTACATCGACGTGTCGTTTCAATAACAAAATAACAAAACGCAACTGATTAAATAACTTACGTCGACGTAGCTCTCAGAGAAATTTATTTGTACAGTAACGTATCAAACGTTTTATTTACATTTTTATTCTCGATATTAATCTATTCTTTGTCGGTGAAAAATTTATACAAACTTAAGTAACAGATTTATTCACGGTACGCGGCTAATTCCACAAGGTGCATTTATCCTGCGGATTCATGGAGCTGTTTTCTGGACATTTGAAGGTTTGAGAGAACTCAACCATGTTAGAAAGGGGACCTATGACACGATATTTAGCAGGACTATGTCCCTCGATGTTAGCCTCGTCCGTCTCGTACTCCGGTCTGATCGACGAACACCAGGACTGAGGAATTCAATTATGGTAATTAATCGGGGATGCGATTTGTTGAGACGTCTGATTAGCATTCGTCGTGCAGAGGCAACTTCCGCGAGTTCAGTTTAGAAGCATCGAATATAAACATTGAACGTTTAGAAATATCTACCGTTTACAAATTGAACAATTTCTCGACGTGACTTACATTTGCGAACGCCAAGAAAAATAACTCGTCGTTAGTAACGTTCTCCAATCCGGGTAGCTTCGTCTGAGGTTTCTCTTTCGCTAATATTTGGTAAGCTGCGAAAGCCACTTGTATGCCAACCGAGTCTGCCAAGTTTTCGGTCTTGGTTAAATTGCCATCCAGCTGAGTGCAATTAAATTTTGTTAATATCAAGCAGTTCAACGTTCCATGCTCGAACGAGAAATCTTTTAAGCTTCAGATAATTCTAGATATCACTGAAAGAAATTACCTGAATATACGTTCCGTTCTCGTCCAAGACGTCAAGGGTGTAATCGTCATACTGATTTATATAGCATGTTGTTCGATTTTCGTATTCGTCCAACACTTCCTGAGGAATCCACTCGGATTTGTAGCCCTCGGCATCGTACAGTATTCCTAAATAAATCGGTAATTTATTATCGGGTTATGAATTCACTTTGTTTCAAGACTAAGCAAATGGTGCACAAATGTTAAGTTTTTTTAATTTAGTACATGAAAGTAACTGTACCGTCGTCGTCGAAGCTATGAGATAATTCGTGTCCAATTATAAAACCAGTGGCCCCATAATTAACTGCGCTGATAAAATATACATTGGTCGATAAATTCAGCTGTGAGTGTGTAAAGTGTATTCAATGAATCGTAATGATTTGTTTGATGATGCTTACTCTGGCAAAAGCGGCGTGAAATATGGATCTTGCAGTTCAGCCGCTGGTATCACTAAACATATCGAATTAAATCAAAATGGAAACTATATCTGTTAATATTTAACATATCATTTATCGAATTACTCACGTATCACGTTAACTTCTCGATCGTTAAACGCGTTAACTGTTATGGGATAGTCTGTCCATCTAAAGAGAAACACCAACGATTATTATTAAATTTGTTACTTTTTGTTTCGTTATAGTCATTTAAGACTCACTGGGTTCTCTCAACAGGTGCTACAAATATTTTGAGGGACCATATTATATCTTGTTTTAAACAGTTCAAGATATTTGTCATATAGTCCGAACCAATTTCTAGCTGTGAAAAGTTTACGAAACGTGTAAATTCAAATGAGATGTTAGCCGAGAATTTTTAACTTTAATTTGATTTGATTTACTACCCCTTCGTAACGTCGAATCATAGCTTTATCGTCATTGTACCAGTCAGGGTATCCAATCTGAGTTACGACGTCGTCCAACTTTTTCACCAGAGATTCTTTCACATCTTTCGATAACCAACGGGCCTGCATTAAGTGTCGTCTCAATGCCCCTTGTACTCTTTCAGCCATTTGCTTTGTCTTGAAACAGATCGAATAAAAAGTGAACGCACCATTTTTTTAAAACAACGAGAATCTTACCTTGTCGATAACGTCGTTCGTGATGTACTTTTTGACAAACATGTAAGAGACCGCGTCCTCCATTTCCATGTTGAGCACGCAAAATTGCCATCTGGAAACGAATTTAAAATTACGGTAATTTCCTTTTTCCGTTGAATTGGATAATACGAACAATCACAAATCTCGCGCGGAAATTATATTCCAATTATATTCCAAGGAATGTGTTCGCGACTGATTTCATGAAACAATGATACGCATGAAAGATTGATTTTGTAGCAACGCCGATGTTAAGGGATCAAAGATCGTTAAAATAAGTTATTTTTATTTGTTTGGAAGCAATACCGTGGCATATGGTGGGACACGTTGTACGACGAAAAGGACATATTGAACATGATGTTTCTCATCTCTTTGGTGGTGTATTCCAAGAAGTTGCGAACGATGTTCCATTGGATATAATTCACTGCAAAGAGAAACGATTATTCGACTAAGGGCGAGTATCCGCGAGGTTGGACGTCCGGATGAAATTTCAGTTGGTCACGTAACCGTAACCGTAACAGAAAAACAACGGATGCCAATCGTGAATTGCCATTGTTCGCGCGGTTCGTGTAATTACAGCATTACCAAGCACGCGTCGCGAAGTGTTTCCAAGCAATCCCGCCAGATCGTGTAGAAATTCCGGGTTGTACACCACGATCGGATCGGACGCGTTCGCGCTGATATTACCCAACCTGAACGCGTGTTGTATCACATCCAGGAAGTTCATCTGCAAAGCATACGTCAGAAACCGAGTCTATCGCGTCGTTTATCATTATTGTCACGTTAATTGCGCGGCAGTGGTCGATTTCACATTATCATAATTGTTCTGACAAAGAAGTGGAATAATATATTCCAATAAAAAATTACTGACATATTTTCCCGTTGCCTCTCAACTAAACGCAATGTCGAGTTTTCTATACAGAAAACATTGCGTTTGGTCGAGAGGCAAAGGACGACGATGACGAAACAATTATGTTACTTTTGCCGTGGAGGCGGTAACGCCGGAATCGTTGTACCATTTCTGCAGTTCCTCGATCGTCATTCTCTTGTAGTTGTCCTTGTAGAAGCTTAGATCCTTATTCGTCTCGAGTATCTGCGAAACGGGAACTTTTATTTATTTTGATCGCAAGTTAATCGAAAAAGAATATCGTTACCTGAAAGAGCTCGATCTCGAATGCCTCCATTTTTGCCATGTCGCTGATCAATTGACGCTTCTGCAAATGATACCCCTTCTCTCTCGCGAAAGCTGCCGCTATGCGGAATAATCCGAGCGCGTACATGTCCTTTTCGTTGGCGTATGCATTTTTACCTTTCTTACTCGCTAGAATATAATCGGTATCTTGATCTATCTGCAGCGACAAAAAATCTTGCGATAAATATCGTGGAAATTAATAATTCTCTCGAAAACTGGTCGTAAAAATGTTAAATTCGAAGCAAAAATCCCAGCTACTTTAATCAGACAACTGTGTTTCTAAGGGTAGGATTCCCGAGTTCTCAAAGCCTTGATTTTATTTTAATGTTTTCCAGTCTACGGTCAATTTGGAAACGATCGATTTAGGCGCTTGGAATTTGTTTTTAATCAGACAACTGTGTTTCTGAGGGTAGGATTCCAGAGTTCTCAAAGTCTTGATTTTATTTTAATGCTTTCTAGTCTACGGTCAATTTAGAAACGATCGATTTAGGCGCTTGAAATTTGTTTTTAGTCAGACAACTGTGTTTCTAAGAGTAGGATTCCCGAGTTCTCAAAGCCTTGATTTTATTTTAATGTTTTCCAGTCTACGGTCAATTTGGAAACGATCGATTTAGGCGCTTGGAATTTGTTTTTAATCAGACAACTGTGTTTCTAAGGATAGGATTCCCGAGTTCTCAAAGTCTTGATTTTATTTTAATGCTTTCTAGTCTACGGTCAATTTAGAAACGATCGATTTAGGCGCTTGAAATTTGTTTTTAGTCAGACAACTGTGTTTCTAAGGGTAGGATTCCCGAGTTCTCAAAGTCTTGATTTTATTTTTAAGCTTTCCAGTCTACGGTCAATTTGGAAACGATCGATTTTGGCGCTTGGAATTTGTTTTTAATCAGACAACTGTGTTTCTAAGGGTAGGATTCCCGAGTTCTCAAAGTCTTGATTTTATTTTAATGCTTTCTAGTCTACGGTCAATTTGGAAACGATCGATTTAGGCGCTTGGAATTTGTTTTTAATCAGACAACTGTGTTTCTAAGGATAGGATTCCCGAGTTCTCAAAGCCTTGATTTTATTTTAATGCTTTCCAGTCTACGGTCAATTTGGAAACGATCGATTTAGGCGCTTGGAATTTGTTTTTAATCAGACAACTGTGTTTCTAAGGGTAGGATTCCCGAGTTCTCAAAGTCTTGATTTTATTTTAATGCTTTCTAGTCTACGGACAATTTAGAAACGATCGATTTAGGCGCTTGGAATTTGTTTTTAATCAGACAACTGTGTTTCTAAGGGTAGGATTCCCGAGTTCTCAAAGTCTTGATTTTATTTTAATGCTTTCTAGTCTACGCTCAATTTAGGAACGATCGATTTAAGCGCTCGGAATTTGTAGTTCGAACGAAACATTTTTCGTCGTGCACGCTGCTTACCGCGAGTACGTATTTCTTCGTATTGTTCGGGTCGACTTCGCAATGAATGCCGAAAAGGCTACTGAAGCCGAGTATTTTCATATAATGCTTGTCAATTTTCTGCCAAGCTACTTTGTTAGACTCCCAAGTTCTCACTGGCATCGCCATAGGCCAACCACCGGTCGCGTCCAGGATCTCTTGAATCGGTTTGATCCCCCTTTTCTCGATCGCATCTGCCGGGGCATTGTGGAATAATAATCAAACTAACATGCAGTTTTAATATCGAGCTCTTTGAAACGTAAAATTGCAAAAGAAATAACTCGCGTTCGAATAATTATAAACAGTACCGTTAGAGATAATTTAATATTTATAAATGTATTTATGCGCATAAATCTGGCCTTCCTACCTTCGTTCATGCAGGAACGATAAAATTCCCTAGCCAATTTAACGGGCGGAATGTCCGTGGGCTTATCGCGTTGCTCGAGGACATCTAATGAAAGAAGATTCAAAGAGAAATTAATATATTCAATGCGTGGAATCCTGATGGAACAGTAGAACATCGATCAATCTCGAACAACTATGTTTACTTGCCTCTGATGCGCTTGTACGTCTTTTGCATGACGATGTAATCTTCGGACCATTCGAGCTCGTTGTCCGGTATAGGATTGTGCGTCCCCCATGATCCACAAACGTATTGGTAGAAATCTGTACAAGGATCGGCAGAAGTGTCCATGCTTTCCAGAATCTTCTTAGCTGGGACACGCGCGAATTAATTAAATTTCATTCACGAGACTTGGACACTCGAATCTTGCAATGAGATATTCAAATGATGGGGATTAATTAAAAGTTACTTAAAATATGATTCTTAAAATATAAGGATTAATTCAAAGTTTCTTAAACCTAAAGCACCCGCAACCTTGTTCATTTCTAAGACATAATAATTGGTGGTACGCGACGAGGAAAGAATCAGAATTTTTTGGCGACTCATACGCTGATTGTAGGTTTCGATGAGAGTAATCATAATTATTGGCTTTGATTTATTGCGCCATTCATAATTTACTGGCACGTAACAGTCGTTCAGATATTACCAGTTCCTTCACATCCGTGCGTTGACATTTTCCAGCGGAAATGACGTTCAATTTCAAGAAACATCACAGCGTAATGCGCGATGATTGTCCAATGTTATAACGTTTTATGTGTGCAACGCGTTTTCGCTATGCTACGTGCCCGATTCAATATTACGCGGGAAAAAAACTTTCCGATTTTATTGCATTTTCTTAGCGTGCTTGATACAGTATCCGTGTAAACAATCTTATACAGGGTGCTTGACCAACCCTGGGAAAAATTTTAATGGAAGATTCCAGAAGCCAAAATAAGACGAAAACCAAGAATATAAATTTCTTGACTGAAGTTTCGTTAAGAAGTTATTAAAAAATTAAATTAAAAAATTTCAATTCGTTCTGGAAAAATAATTTTCAGTTGCGGGGATCAAATACAATAATTTTTGGTTAATAGACATACCCCCGAAATCCTATCCACTTTCGAGAAAAAAATTCGTTACCGAAAATATAATCTGAGGCCTGAAATGGTTCCCCGAAATTTCATGCGTATCTTTAAAATGTCATAACTTCTGAACGGATTGGGGGATTTTAAAGTTTCAGAATGCAAACAACGCGTATTTCGGTGTAGAATACGTAGATATTCCAAAAATATACGAAAAGTTGTTCCTTAACCCCGTAAAGTGAGAAAAACCCCATAAAAATGGTCCAATTTTCAAACGGCCATTACTCCTACAATAGTGAATGTATTTCAATGAAATTTTTTTCTGAAGTAGAGCTCATAGGTACCTACAAAAAAGTATTAGACAAAATTTCCGTACTGCGTCAAACAAAATTAATAAAAATGAAAAACTAAGTTTTAATAAAAATCAACAAGAAATGCTGCTAAAATTCGGCGAAAAAAAAAAATTTCCAATCGTTTTGGAAAAATTATTATCAGTTGCGGGGATCAAATACAATCATTTTTGGTCAATAGACATACCCTCAAAATCTTATGCACTTTCCAGAAAAAAATTCGAGTAGATATTGAAATTTTTCGGCGAAAAAAATATTTCAAATTGTTCTGGAAAAATTATTTTTGATTGCAGGGGTCAATTACAATCATATTTGGTCAATAGACATACCCTCGAAATCCTACCCATTTTCGAGAAAAAAATTCAAGTATGTTCTGAAATTTTCGGACGAAATTAAAAATTTCAAATCATACTAAAAAAAATTATATTTAATTACAGGGGTCAATTACAATCATTTTTGGTTAATAGACATACTTCTGTATTCCTAACCATTTGCGAGTAAAAAATTCGAAAAGGTGTGAAATTTTTCGACAAAATTAAAAAATTTCATATCGTTCTTTAAAAAATATTTTCGGTTGCGGGGGTCAATTACAATAATTTTTGGTGAATATACCTACCCCCGAAATCCTACCCACTTTCTAGAAAAAAATTCAGCACGGGCGGAACTTTAAACGTTAATAACTTTTTAACGAAGCCTCCATCAACAAATTAGTATTCTTGATTTTCGTCTTATTTTGGCCTCTAGAATCTCCCATTAAAATTTTTCCCAGGTGTGCCAGAACACCCTGTATAATGTAAACCATTAACGTTTGAAATACAGAACGATCATTTAATTTAGAAAAGTGATGAATAATCTGTATGTTCCACCATTCGAAGGTTTTATTCTCTTATCGAAACTTTCACTCGTAACATTAAAAAATAATTAGCAAGGATATCAATCAACGCAATCGTTTCACGACACAAAAGAATCTCCTGATTATTTTGTAACACGTGAAAGTATCGCGAATTATGTATTATATTTTCGTTATTACTTTCTCCCGAGACGACCCGATTTTAATTTACTCTCGTAAAACTGTGCGCGCAACAGGTGCGATGAATCTTGTCCTCCATTAATTTAAAAATGATCTCTTCGGTGGAAAAAGCGCCAACGTTCTGTACTTTTTTCAAAAGGTAGTTCAAGTTGTTACACGATCAAAAATTAGTCCTTTGAAGGAATCGTGGACCCAATTACCGTTGTTAAATCAATACTTGAACGTAACAGAAGAATATAAAAAAAAATATAACTTCTAATATTTCAACACAATGTCACAAGTTTTAGAATTTTATTTTCCAACTACTCACAATGTATATTTAATACCTCAATAATATAATTTTTTTATTATTTACAAACTCCTCAAATTGAAAAAGAAATTAAATTTTGTTTATAGATAACTGGAAACTAGCATACCCATTATTTGTTATTGAATTTATTTTCACAGACTCGTTAAAATTCAAGGACCCTACCTTTATTTTCTTTGACATTTAAGCTTGAGAATTAATTTTTTTAACTCTTTGATAAAAAATCGTGTCACCCATGTGTTAAAACTGGAACATAGTACAATAATTTTACCCGTTTTATTAACACTAGAACTATCAAACCAGTCAAAATGACCCATTTCTAATAAAACTTGTAAAAAATTTACTCGACAGAATTTTTGAAAAATCGTAATTTTCTATAAGAGAATATACAGGGTGTTCGGCCACCTCTAGCAAAAATTTTAATGAGCGATAGTAGAGGCCAAAATAAGACGAAAATCAAGAATACTAATTTGTTGATGGAAGCTTCGTTAAAAAGTTATTAACAATTAAATTCAAAAATTTCAAATCGTTCTGGAATAATTATTTTCGGTTGCGGGGGTCAACTACAATCATTTTTGGTGAGTACACATACCTCCGAAATCCTATCTACTTTCGAGAAAAAAAATCGAGTAGGTGCTGAAATTTTTCGGCGAAAAAAAATTTTTCAAATCGTTCTAAAAAAATTATTTTCGGTTGCGGGGGTCAATTACAATCATTTTTTATCATTACACATACCTCCGAAATTGTACGCACTTTCGAGAAAAAAATTCCTTACTGAAAATCCAATTAGGTGCCTAAATTTTTCAACGGAGAATAAAAATTGCAAATCGTTGTGGAAAAATTATTTTCGGTTGCGGGGGTCAATTACAATCAGTTTTTGTCATTAGACATACCCACGAAATCCTGCCCACTTTCGAGAAAAAAAATAGAGAAGGTGTGAAATTATTCTAGAAAATTAAAAAATTGCAAATCGTTGTGGAAAAATTATTTTCGGTTGTAGGGTTCAATTACAGTCATTTTTGGTGAATAGACATACCCCCGAAATCTTGCGCATTTTCGAGAAAAAAATTCAGTAAGGGCGGCACTTTAAACGTTAATAACTTTTTAACGAAGCTTCCATCAACAAATTGGTATTCTTGATTTTTGTCTTATTTTGGCCTCTACTATCGCTCATTAAAATTTTTGCTAGAGGTGGCCGAACACCCTGTATAAACACTTATTTCCATTGCATTATCGTTTCAATTTCTTTGGTACAAATAAACACGACTATAATTGTCGGTAGTTCTAGTGTTAAACGAAGACTACAGTTACAAAAATTTTGATATTAACGATGCGCGTGAAATGAATTTTGTAAATGAACGTTTAGATAATAATTTGAAAATTGAATATACAGAACACCTTCCATGCTTGGATCTTACAGATTTTCTTATGGGAATTGCTCGTCGGTAAGAACCAAGCGCGAACGTTGCCTTTGTGAAATTTGAAGAAAACGAAATCTCTGTTCGCTAATGCGATCCGCAATAATTGCAACTTATGTAAATGTTACGTGAACGACGTAAACGTACCGATCTGGTTACAGTGCGTCGTTTCGCAAATTCTCTGTTCCCGATCCTCGTGGTAGTCGTTCTCCGGACGCGAATCCGTGTCGTTCATCGTGCTCGGTATCCTCCAAATTCTTGCGACCGACAACGACGTCGGTATCGCTGTCACGGCTGTCAAACGACAGCTGCAATAACAATAAAAAGAACACCGTTTGAACGATTCGCGATTTCCTCGCGCGCCTCGAGCGGGCGAAGTGGAGTAGACAGAGTTTAAAAAAATACGCGTCGGCTCCTTTGTTTCGCTACGATTAACGTGCAAATTACGTTACACCGTTCCTGAAACAATACACCGTCGTATCGCCTCAATGAATTACATAATGGATTTGTATAGAGAGTCTCGAACGAACAATGTCGCGAGTAACGTGTTGCACTTTGATCCAAGGAATCGACGATCGATCCGTGTCGAGCAGAGTTTTTACCCGATCCCGAAGCAAGTTACAGCCGAACGATCATCGACGATGATTTATCGATAACGAGGAGATAATGTCGGTTCGCGTGTCACTGTGAGATGCAGTTGATTGATCATCGATCGCTCTCGATCACTTACATTAGCCACAGGAGCTGCATGCTTGCCGAAGGAGCGTAGTCCTGGACTGATGTACCAGTCGAGGCAAAGAGCTATCCAAAAGTCACGAAGCAGCCATCTTCCTTCAACGGACGCGTCTCGCACGCTCTTTTTGAAATGATCGGGGCCGATGGTTATGCAAGATTAATTTATGAACAATGTTTTGTTGAATCAAGTGTCGAGCAACACGTGAAAAGCAATTGATTTCGCGATTGTGACGCGCGCGACACGCAAAGCCGATTTATCGTTCGCGGAACTTTATTACTGGATTGTGTATTCATCGTCCAGAGAATATCAGATTGTTTTCGTACTAATAAGAAATCGGCGCAAGGTGTTTAACATTACATTCGCGGAAACGTAAATAATTAATAACGCGGAAAGATTACCGTCCTCGAGAACGTCGTTAGTTTCTCTTTTACCTGAATCTGAATCACTTGGTCACGGACGAGGTAAAGATCAAGCGTGTAATTGCAGAATGTGTCACCGCAGACGAGGTTTATGCCTAGCATTTTATAGAAGTTTCAGTAGCGTAATCTGAAGTATCGACTTTGTAGCGCACTCTACGGTCATGCACGTTGACTCTGAAATCGATAAAGTTAGCAAACGCAGAAAATCGCTTCCCTCGCAGCGCGTACAGGATCGTTATTAGCACGCGAAGGATTGCTATTTCTTACAAATGCAATGTTTATTGTTAGAGAGCGAGGAAGCAACTGGAGAATAAAATCGTATTTTCTACAAACGTTAGTCTATTTGATAAACTTAGTCCAAAGCTTGTTTTTTAAATAAAAAAAAATGCGCGCCTATACGATGGAATTGCACTGCTATCTACGGCGAGACGTCAAAGTTTGTCGAGATTTAGTTCATTGTTTTTAACACTAGATGGCGCATTAGGCAAGTTTGCGTAGAGACTGCGGTCTTCTCTCTCACTCTAACTGCGAGAGTGGGGGAAGCGGCCATGTTGCACTCGTCAGCCTTTGTTCAGATTTCATAGCGTGGGGACGTGTCCTCGCGTTTCATTTATTTTCAACCGTTTAATTCCCTCGGAAATAGATATTGTTTCTCCATAAAACCCCCATTCATCTCTATAGTTTCAATTTTATTATGTCATGTCCCCAACTTAGACTTAAAAATTGATACCATTTTCGTAATTAACGTCCCACATAACCTTCATAACGACACCCATACCGATATTTAGGCGTATTTACCCTACGTGAAAAACTATTTAGTTTATATTTAAAGTACCTCTTTATATGTATATAGATAAACAAATTCCCATATACGATCGAAAAATATATGAAATACGAAAGGTTTTACTACACGCGACATACAAAAATATAAAATATATGGAAGGATATAAATGGGAGTATAGGAGACAGCATTTATTTAAATTTTATTGGAGAATATAATGTTTCTTAAATTTTTGCATAAAATGCAAAGCGGGAGTGATAGGAAGGCGATCATTTAAAAAAATATCTTTATTATTTATTTTACATTGGATTTTATAATCGTTTTTGAGTTTCTCCTTGTATATCTGTTATTATGTCTACGTCTGTAGAGTGTACGTGAATGTATGTAACTATGTACCAATCGATTAATCAATTATTAAGAATTACAGTACAAATACATTCAATTACAGTTCAAATGAGATTATTTAATTCAAAAGCCTAGTTGTTATGAGAAAGGGAACGTTAAAATGAAATACTGAAAAGTTAACATTGCAGCCATTAGCAAATTTACATTACAATAGTAATATAAATTTCCCAAGTCACACCACGAGGAGGTTGCTGCAAACGGTGACTCGCCCTATCTCCGCGGGGCCCATCCACCCACCATTGCAAAAACTACGTCGCGGAAAACATCGTCGCGACATTGAATCGTCCAATTACTTGCGCAATTAGAAGATTACAGTTCTACTTTTGACCTGCCCGGGAAAAGAAGTAGAGATGCTAGCCATCTCTACCCTCCTTATTAACTAAGTATCCTAGCTAACCTGAATATCTTAGATATAGATACAAGATATTTAAGTAATAATCGTATTCGGGTTACGTTTAATGTGCTCCGTGATGACCCTTTCCTAGCAAACGGAAAGAGTCGACGGTAACGAAATCGGCGCGATACTAAACAAAACTCCACTATAGGGAGTTGAGCGAATCCAGTGCCATTTCCCCCACGCCCGGACCACCGCCGCAGGATGAAGGAAACATGGAACTGTAAATAATATAAAAACGACGAGTTTCTAAGTTATTTACGTGCGAATTTTGCCGACAAAACAAACCGAAAGAATGTTCCGCCGCTCTCGCGGAGGATGCATACCTTTCGATTCCGTTTATCGGCAATCGCATAGAGCCCTAATGGGATACCGACTATACGCGTACGATCTCCTTCGACAGCCCAATTCGTAGAGAATCGTATTACTGATCGGCCATTAAGGAAACACAGAACAAAGGATGTCTGTTGAATCGTCGCGCACTTCGGGTCGTGTAATAGAAATGCACGCTATGGACCAACATCGAACTCGGGCTCGAACTTCCAAGCGCAGCACAAATTGCACACTACTTTAGCTACGTATCGCCTCAGAAACAACCGGAATCATCTCGCTCCCATGACCGGGTCAAATAAGCTAAGAAAATGGCGGCCATCTCGATTCGGCGTCACGGCTACGATAGTATACAATTTTCACATTACAGACGTTACCAAGCGGGAAGAAAATGAAAGGGGACGTGAGCCGCTCGAGGAGTACTATGGATCTGAATTGCCCTCGCGATTCACACGGCAGACACGGAAGACACGGGCGAGCCTAAAATATCACTAACCCACTAAACAAACCGTCGTACGATGTGAGCCCAGCTTGAACTTTACACAATCAAACACAATGAACAAGAGAATTAAATTGAAAAATTTAAGAAATTATGAATTATAAAAGAAAAAAAAAATAGGCACGACTTTACTCTACAGATGTTCAAACTGGACTGAAGTCGCAACGCCACATGGGCGGCAACGAGCAGTCGTTTGGCGACGGTGCTGCCAACGGAACTGCGTATGTCAAATTATATATTTTATATTATTTCGATTTATTACACTAATTGCATATGTTAAACAGAAACAAAATTATTAGTATAAAATTAGAATATTTATTTTACTTTAGTTGGTTACATAAAAGTTCTTAAAATTTGGATAAATCGAAAGAGAAGAAAAATATTATTCCCTTCAATTTATTGATCGAGGTTGTGAAGTTGACTCTGGCGGTAGAAACTTTCGGCGAGAAGAATGAACGACCGTTACAAAAAGTATGGCCGTTACAAAAAGAAAGAATGGCGGTTACAAAGCATGGCCGTTATAAAATATATTTTACATTCCCATTTTATGATCCGATATGATTAATATTTTAAGGAAAATGTAACTTCCGACGAAGCTGTAAGTATATTACATAGTAAATATGCAAGTAACTATCAATTTCAAACTGAAAATGATTTAAATGTAATGCATATTATCATAGAAAAGAACAATGGCCAGGAATAGAATTCTATAGTGTCTGAAGATTTTAAATAGACTGCATATTCAGGTATTTGAAGAAACTCTTTAAATAATGATATCTACATGTATTTTATGAATGTTTTTCGTAGACTTTGTTGTTGCAGCTCTTTCGTTGCCCTTCAGTAAAATTCATTTCCACACATTTCATTTTTAATTAGGATTAGTATTTTTAGATAATAAAAAAAATTACGTAAAACATTCGTTTAAAAAAACTGTAGTTGCAAAAGGGTATAATTTTGTTATGCGTATCAAATATAATTCGATAAAATAATAAAAATCTTTGAACATAGTTGACATTAGTTCTTAATGTAAATAATTAACGAGTGATGATTAAACACGAGAAAATTTGAAAATGTTGAAAAATGATATTAGAAAAGTTCTGTAACAATGGACTTTCGCGGACCAATCTGACTGCCATATCGATCTGAAAATTCGGAGGTAATTCTAGCGTCTATTCACTGAATTAGCATTGATGTCAGGTAGCTGTAGCATGTGCATAAATACATGAGAGAAACGTAGTTTGAGAAACACTGATCCGGACAATATCGATTCTGCCTGCGTGCCAATCTATCGAATGCACCGAATAGAGTCCAACCGTAAGCATTAGGGCGGATAATCCTAGGCGAACGTACACCTTCTCCAACATGTTTCCCTGTCCCTGAAGAGCTTGTTGAGCTTAGCTTGATCGCCACGTGACGGGCTGACACACGTTCGTAGGCATAGTCCAAACACGGACAGTTCTCTTTCTAACGATGCACGATATTCTCATTATTAAATAGAACGTTAAAACGCAGACGGTGGTTAACAGGTAGCACGAGACACGTTGTATGTGTGCATTGCATAGGCGAGGTGTTACTAGTGACGAATAGTCGCACCTTCTTCTCGGCATGATAGCCGGTGCTTCGGGACGCCTGGGCGCCCGCGGTACCAGAAATCAGGAAGTAGTGCCTCTGTTCGTTACGGTTGATCGCACGTGAAGTAGAAAGATCGAGATATGTTAATACGTTCTTCAGTTTTCAATATTTATAATTTTTATTCGAGTTAATTACTTAATTCTGAATATACTAATATATAATTTGGTTTCTCTTCTACCTATATTACAAATGAAAATTTGAACGACTATTGCATCGAAGCACAGTGTAGATGCTTAATACTAGAATTACCGACAATTATAGTGTATTTATTTGTACCAATAGAAATTAGGTGTTTATTCATTTTCTTATAGAAAATTAGGGTAAATTTTTTACAAGTTTTATTAGAAATTTTGACTGCTTTGGTAGTTCTAGTGTTAAATGGAAGCTAACAAAATATCAAAGAAAACGAAATTTCACAGAAATATGACAAATAGTCGTGCTCATTTTCCTCGAAAGAATATCACCAATCCATTGACAATACCGTTATGAGGGAATGAAAAATACACAAATTTTATTTTAAATAACAACAGTTATATAATTATTAATTTATTTATACAGAAAAGTTCATTTCATAAATTAAATTTAAATTCGTAAACATATACTTTAAATGTTTTTTGCTTATAAGTGTAATTTAATGTATAAAAGTAAATTACACATTATACAATTTAGGATAGGGCCAATTGAATCACATTAAATGCATTTCTTACAGTGTCTAATAAATTACTATTTGCTCATCATCATCCTTTAAATGCTTATGGATCATTAGCCTTTAACACCATTTCCAATGGTGACTTATACTTATCTTTTGTATCTATATGCATAGTTCCAGGAATTCTAAAATGCTCCACAATATTTTCTGAAATAAAAGTATTAACACGTTAGTGAATAACTTTGACATACTTTTATGGCCAAGCAGAAAAATAGCAGTTGTTGTGCTCTTATCATTTTCTCCAATACATATATTTACCTGCTACTTGTTTGTCTAGCTTATACTCGAGAGCTATTTGTTCTGCAGTATATTCAGGAAACTTTTCTTTGTACTTTTTAAGAAAAGTCACAGCTTGCCTTGTGGAACATTTACCCTCAGGTACTACAATCGGATCACGGTATCCATCTTCAGATTCACGATAATCAGATGTTTCTCGTGGTAAAGGCCTGGTTGAACTTGCATCCGTCACCATTGATTTATTCTGAAGTATACGGAAGATTCTTTTTATCCTTGCAATTTCATTTTATTAAAGCCTTGTTTAAAAGAAACACACCTCTGAACCAATGGATGAGACATAGACACTTTTTAAGCGTTCATCCAACTGCGTATCCTTTTTGTAAGCAGTATCCATAAAATCAGGATGTACTGACATAAAAAACATATCATAAAAACATTATAAACTGTTATTGTTGATTAATATAACAAACGTAATATCCTAATATAAATTGCAATTGCCTCTATTTTAGATTTGTCACAGTTATTTCAGAATGCACATTCAGATTACATAATTCATTAAAAAACAACTTACATTTATCTACAATTTCTTTTTGCTGGGCTACCGAGGGAAATTGAGGTGCAGCTATTGGTTTCTCTTTCGAAATTATTTTATGTGCACGATTCTCGATATTATATTTGCGAATCGGGCTCGTGAGACGAGAATATATGCCTCCCATAGTTATAGTAACTAAAGTGCTACGTTATTTTTCATTTTCTAATGGTAAACTGATAAATGTAATTTAAACCTTGCAAAAACACTTCAGTGTTTAACATATAAAATTGTATAAAAATAAGAAACTTAACACACACATACTGAATGTATGTATTAAGTTAAATATTCTAACCTCTACTACAGAAAGTAGAGAGGTTGTCCACCGAAATACTGAACAGAACCAGCCGTATGCCGCACGCGTAACCGGCAACAAAACTAATTACATAAATGAAATTAAAAAAACGTATACTCAAAATATTACTCGTCAATTTTTAATGCGATCTAATATATACTGGCTGTTATGAAGAACAAATAACCGAAGTGTATTACTTATACACAATACAACAAACAGTTTATAGAACGTACTATCAAGATTTCGAGGCATGCTATTATTACTAATTAATTAGAGCAAGGATAGTTGCAAAATTAGCCCTTGAATGTTGCCAAGGATGTCTACTTGGTGATGTGGTAGCAGAAATATGTGTAATAATACAGAAAAGTTGATAATTCATCGATTAAAGCATACAGTAATATAGCCGTAAATATTCCGACTTTTGATATTTGTTAATAACTTCTTGTTGCAAGGAATGGTTGCAAAAAGTATCTTTGAGTGTTGCCAATGGTTTATACCATATTCTTAAATTTTAAAAGTTCATAATTTAATTCCAGGACAGAAGTAATTAGTGAATAATCAAGCTATGTGTGATAGGAGTAGCAGGAGTGAGGGAACTTGTACTCCGTATACCTCCTTTAGTATTGTGTGATCCTGGCAACTTTTTAGCAGTTAGAATCCCCGATATTAGATGGCGTCACGTATATTATTTTTTTTCTTAATTTTTAACGATAGTCAGATGCAAGACCCTGAATATCCGAATAAATCACACCTGTAAACTTGTATTAATTTGTAGCGCAAGGATTAAAATAACTATCGCTTCCAGTAATCGTTCACAGCTAATTAATTGCATGAAAAAATGTGTAGAAAAATGATTAAAGAATATTTCGAATAAAACTTTGGCATTTATAAAAATTAAGAAATTAATGGGAAAGGCAAGGGAGAATGAAAATAAAAAGCGTGGAAAATATGTTTGAATTTGATGTTTTATTAATATAAACATTAGGAATATTTTATACATAATACACGTTTTATAAATAAATTAAATCGATGAGTAATATTTTGCACAATATTCGCTAACGTGAGGTCGGTGAGGATAAAAAGCTCACATTTGTAAAACCGCCGTAAAATATAAAGAAATCTAACAAATGTACCCTATTACGCGCGTTCTGGCGTAAAGCAGTATTATTACAAGGTTATATTATAACTTTTTGAACCATTTACAATCATAAACAATTATTCAAAATGAATTATGAGCTTGATACGTTACGAAAAGTTTTAAATCCGTCTATAAAAGTGAATAAACTTTACTTGTCGTACGTGGCTCGACTTTTCCCGGAATATAAGGATACGCCGAGTATTATTTTGTATGAACAAGTATGTGTATTATAATGGATTGTATGTTTCTTTTAATGGACAAGCGTGTAATCTATTCTTTGTTTACATTTAGCACTGTACAGAATCTTTGAATAATGATTCTGAACACATTGATGATGATCAAACAAGCAGTAAGTTTGCCATGTAACATTAAAAATCATTTAATTTGATTATATAAATTGCTCGAATAAACGTTTCAGAATTTGATGTTACTGGATCACCTTTGAAATATTCATTTGATGATATTGATTTTGAGGATAGTATTATGGTGATGAAACAAAATTGGTCCAAAACAGAAGAAAAATATCTACCATTAAGCAGAATGGAAGCATGGTAAAATCAGCTATTATAATAAAAACTATTTGATATAAAAAATATAATTTTATTTCAGTGATGCATTAAATGCGTGTATTGAATTAATAACGGATGCTTTTCCACCAATATTTGCACTTTGCAATGGCGAGGATAAGAAAAAATGTAGATTATTAGGTACAATTATTCAAGGACAATGGTTTACTACAATTGAAGTTTGTTCAGCTGATACTGAATCTTTTGATGTTATCAAAAATTCTTCTTCAAGTATTCTTCAACAGCATTTAAAACTTTCACATGTACAAGAATATAATGTGGGTACCATGTTTCTTTGATGATTATACATACATATATTAGTAATTTTCTTTTCTTTTTGTATCTAGGTCACTGTATCTGCATTTAATACTTTCAATTTATTTGGAACAAAAGAAGAAATTATTAATTGGGATGAAAATGTAAAATGCAATTTTAAAGGAAGTTTAAGCATAGAAGTAGATACTTGTAATTTATCATTATATCCATCCTCAAGAGCATCAAAGAATAATTTGGTGAGAATTTTTTATAATCACTTGAAAATGCATAAGTAATTTCTATACTTTTTCAGGTAGTTCAAGTTGTTACAGGATCAAAAATTAGTCCTTTGAAGGAATTGTGGGCCCAATTATTGTTGTTAAATCAATACTTGAACATAATAGAAGAATATAATAAAAACGTAACTTCTAATATTTCAACTCCCTTAGAATTTCCACGTGATTTCACAAGTCCATATAAAGAGGTATTTTAGAGTCTAACTCTCCAACTATTCACAATGTATCTTTAATACCTCATAATATTATTTTGCTATTTAAAATAGGAACATGGTACAATATTAAGAAATTTAGACCTTTTATTGAATGAGGACTACAGTTATAAAAATGTTGATATTAACGATCCACATGAAATTAATTTTGTAAATGAATGTTTAGATAATAATTTGAAAATTGAACAATATATAGAACAACTTCCAGGCAGATATAACTTAGATTTTACAGATCTTTTATGGGAATTGCTCATCAGTAAGTGAATCTTATGCAATAAACACAAATATACATATATATTCATTCGTATATAAAATTATATGTGTTTATATATACTTGTAGAGAATACAAACTATGTTAAAATGACAGAGTGTATTCGTATAATACTCGAAGAAATTATAATAAATGAGAGTTCCTCACAGGTATAATATAAATTTTTAAGAAAAGTAGTTTTATTACTTCTTATCAAACGTAATAAAAAAAAACGCAATTAATACATGCTAGGTAAATTTGTCAAATTCAACAAGATTCGCCAAAATTATTTCCCATCCAAATGAGCACAGAATAGTTTCACGTTTACTGTCTGGTAGTTTACCATTGGAATATGTGGTAGATATGGGTTTTACAAAATTATTCAGAGACTATATGTATATTTTAATAAATGCAGAACTTGTTGACCTACATGATATAGATCACAAATTGGGAAATGTGTCGTGTGGTGAATTTATAGTTGATTCCTATAGGTATGTGTAATCAAATTATATTATTATTATATCTTCAATAATGCTCTTTTGTTACATATAACGATATAACATATATATATCATTATCTTTTAATGTTTTTAGGAAAAGATTAATGTATATGGTACAAATTCATGTATGTTTGGAGTTTATGTTACTTATACAAAATAATTTAGAATATTCAACTAATGATCTAAAGCCTTTATTTTTATGTGCTTTCAAACAATACGTTTGCGAAGAATCGCCTATACAAAATTATCATGATCTGCATCAAAACATAATCTACAGTCTAAATGTTCCCCTTCCCGTTTCAACAATCGATAATTTGAATAAGGAGTAAGTTTAATAATTCTAACAAAAGTGTTACATCTAAAAACAACCATACATTGTTTACAGGATTCCTACTACACGAAGAATTTCACTTTCTTCACAATCCAAGTTATCAAAATTGACAACTATTAAATACTATAGTCGATTACCTTTATTTCCAACAATAATTAATCCTCGAGGTAAGAATTGTATTTTAGAAGTATAATACATAACATGAAATTTTATCTGTGTTTATCATTAAATTTTTTTTTTAATACCTTTTAGACAATTCGAACGAAGAATATTATGTTACGAATGCTATTTGCTCGTCTACTAAATTTAAATAAAACATTGGTTTTAAGAAAATTTTAATGCAAAAATTTGTATACTATATACAATTTTTATGTGAAAATATTAATTAAAAAAAAAGGCACAGAAAGATCAATAAATTCAAAAGTATAATTTTTTTGGGAGCCGCCTAAAATAAAAGGAATATACTGCGAGGTAATCATATGTTTAATTCATAATTAATAAAATAAAAATTATAAAAGCATTCCTCAAATACATTGAATGTATTTTCTGTATAAATATAACTAGATTTACGAGTGTTTGTACTCTCAGTCATTGATAATGTACACTCCAATTTACTATTAGACATTACTTTCACTGACCTAAACCTCATTAAATATATATTTATAATAATATGAATTATATTTTCAATTCAAAGTTCTTTTCAATGTACAAATATATATGCAAAGTATGTTATATTTATTAAAATATGTGGTCAAATTTCTTACGAAATTTGTAGCCAACAATTAAAAGGAGACAGACTGTTATACACAATGTAAATCTTCTTTAACACAGTACAGAATGCTATTTTATAGAAATAGACCGCTTTCTGTTTCAAATTCATTTAACATACTTTGGTTGCTTTTTTGAGTATCAGTACCGTTAATAATAAAAGTTATATCAACTCTAAGCCATTAATTAAAGCATGGCTTTGCATGCAATAAGTACGTAACGTAAACAGTTTTAATACTGAGCCGTTTCTACATCATCTACTCCAGAAACAGTAGCTTGTTCAAGCACTTCAAGAAGCTTCTGCATTTCCATAGAATCCGATGAATTGTCAAGCGTTCTTTCAAGTGCTCGTACGTATGACATACACGTACGTCCTTCGTGGTCTAGATTATGTGGATTTGCTTTATGCTGTAACGGTTTAATAATGTACAAGTACATCATATTTTTTTACATCATTTCTATAATATAATTAGAACAAGAAACACACACCCATATTAAAAGTTGTGCCATAGCTAAGTTTCCTGTGGCACAAGCTAAATGGAGAGGTGTCCTTAAATCTTCCATACTGACAGACATATTAATATCTTCGTAACTACATCTGGCCAAGCACAATGTAAACGCTCTCATATCGCCCCTACGTCGCGTACCATGCAAAAGAAAAACAAATTATCTAAAAATTATCTATAACAATGCAACTATAGTTCACTTGCGATTTGAGAATATTTACCGGCAAACTGAATCAATAAGCAATTTTCCTAAAGAAATGTTTGGGTTAATTGGTGGTAAGAAGATTTTATCTTCGTATTTCCATCTGATCCATTGCTCCTTTTCTTCTCTAGGAGAATCTGAATTCGGTTTTTGTTTTCCGTTTAAACAATATTCCCAAACACTATTTGCTATGTCATTACCAAGGGCTAACATTACACTTAATTGACCTGCGCTAAAGTTAATGTCACGTCTACTTATGCCATAGAACAATACATGCATAACTAAAAATATATATATCCGTTCGAATTTATATAATTGTATCCTCAAAATCGTATCATTTATCGGTAACATTATTATTATCTAGATAAAAAAATTATTCTTTCAAAACAAGTAGTTACATCGCACTTACGACCAATCGTCTAAATCCAGTGACCTAACTTTCGATATGTGTGAACCTAAATTTCTGTGTATTCCCGAGCATTCGATGCACATCAATACACCTAAGTTTAGACTAGCCCAATCTGGATCTAAAATATAATTGAAAGTATGAAATATAAAAATATTCGTAACACATTTCTACAAGTGTTACTTACTAGGTGCTGCGCAATCTACACACGCGTCATTTCCTGATACTTTATTTTTTATACAATGCATTTTGAAAGCATCAGTTTCGTTCTTTTTATCGCCATCGCTATTTTGCAAACTTGATAAAATTTGTTGTTCTATAGCAGAAATCCAACTATCTCTATCTTCGGCATTGTTTGCTTCAAAATGCCAAGTCTTATTTTCTAACGAAATAATAGAAAATTCGAAACTATCCTCTGCAAATTAAGACATATTTATGATGAACTTGATCCAATTGGGATTGTTCCGCCGAGCCATCCTCGAACGATTCCCCAAATCGGCGAGTCGGGTGCAAAAATCGATAGAAGGCACGTGTTACGGAACACGGTTCTCGAAGGATCGAGAATTATCGATAATGTTCCGCGACACGGCCAAGGACATTTGCAGCCAGCTCAAAGAAAATCCAAAAGACGATCGGTAGAACGCATGTAAGGTCAGGGATCCCAATCGTCCGCATCAGAATCAGTCAGAATCAGTCAGAATCAGTTAGAAACACGAGAAAATCACGCAAAACAGGTAGAGACGACGTTCGAAACTTATCAACCAAGTACATAATTACTCAGAGTAGCAGAGTCTTAACCTATAGTCGTAGTCCAAATGACACGGGATTAACAAAATTGAATATTTAAATAACTTGTTACGCACCTTGAGCATTGGATGATTTTGAACCCTTAGGTGTTTTTCCAGGCACTTTCACAGTTACGTATTGTAATAATATTTCTTTTCCATTGGCATCATTCATATAGTCCTAGATAAACAATATGTACATATACGTAATCCTTAAAATTTTTTAATACAACATTCGATTTATTGTACCATACAAGTATTTAGTTGCGTGTAAAAATAATAATTACATGTAAACTGGAATGATAAGTTAAACGACCATCTTCTAGCAATGTAACATATTTTTTTTTCCATTCTTTTAAAGATTTACTACTGCGTTTAAATAAGTATCCTTGTTTCACTGGTATTTCCCTTCCAACGCCCATTTCACCCATATTGTATTTCTCTTTTTTTGACGGGGTAAAAATATTAGATTTCCTTCTAAATTTCCTGCAATACAAAAATATAATGAGTTATGTATAATTTCGTTATTGAACAAGATGAAATATCAACAACTAAACCTGATAGTAGTTGGAGTTAAAATCGAGGATCTTAGATCCCCATGCTGATTCTGTACATTATGAAAATTATCACTTATCGTTCCAGAATCATTTTGAGTCAAACTACCATGAAGAGATCGCGAATCTTCATCTTTATCAGATGTCTGTGGAAAGAATGGATTTATTAAACACTTTACTTCAATATATTAAAACAAGTTGATAACTCACGTTTAGTTTTGATGAATTTGTCGCTTCCATGTCTTTGGCAAGAAGCTGTACGTTTTTTGCAATCATTGAAACAGGATACTTTGTTTCATTATCTGTTGCTTGTTGTCCATTACATCGATAATGTTTTGCAGATACATGTTGTATAATTTTTTGACACACTGTAATATTCAGAATACTCTCAGAATAATCATCAAAGTCACTGAAGAATAACAGTAATGGTGTAAGAAAATGTGTAACAAATACGTATGGTATTTACATATAGAATTTACCTATTATAAAAGTGTGAACTTACTGCATGTAAGTTGTTATTTAAAAATTACATTTTAATCAAACCAAAAACTGTATAGCATTGTTAATTATTTTAGAATATTTACCATCTTGAAATACTCTTTCAACATTTAAACCATAAATAGCACATGTTTCATAATAAGGACACCTTAGATCGCATGCCAATTTCCGAGGTCTAACATCTTTTATAACTCGAGGATTGGAATCGTTTATTGAATCTAAACAATGTGAAATAAATATAATTTGATATTAACTAATAAATGTATGTTGTAGAAAAGTAAAGGATTTGTGCATTAACCGTTTTAGTGCCAGGGGTTTTTAATGCCGATAGACGCGATTGCAATGTTTTTTTTTTCGTCGAAATATGCCGCTCGGCGCGCTCGCGCTTCGTATTGTTATTCACTTTTATATTCGTAAAAATTTCATCAGTCATATCATAAACGTTATACTAAACGCTCAAAAGTGACCAAACATCGCGGCACATTTCAGCGCAGAACGCGAACAGCGCGATCGCGCTGCGTGGCGCTAAAACGGTTAAGAAATATTTTATAAACATAAGGACAATGTGTACGTTTTACCTTGTACTCCTACAAGTATTATTGGTACTTCTGACATATTTCGAAATGAACACATTCTATTATAGAAACTGCAAACTATCGAAAAACTTTCTTCGCTCTCTAAACTAAACACGAGCAATAAAGCATCTATCCAAGCGGAGAACTGAAATGATTGATATCTGTGTTAAATGTTAAAGCAAAATATGTTACCAAATGATATATATTGTGAATGCATCGATCATATAATGTAATAAATCATTTTGTGTACTTGTGACTCTGGTACTCCACCCTCATCTCTAATTAATAAGAGATAGCTTTGATCATTGATAAAAACTTCCTTTTTAAAACGACCACCTTCTGGAGATTCTTCGTGCATGAAAGAACCAGTCAGATATCTATGAACTAAAGCAGATTTTCCTGAGTCAGACGAACCAATAATTCCTAAATGTAATTCTGGAACATCTCTAGCCAATGTCCACTCATGACTATTAACAAAAGAATCTATAATATAGAATTATTTACAATTATTTTGCAGTACAGAAAGGAAATGTAAAAGAAAATTAAAGAAAAGTATTTAAATGCTTTTAATCAATTTTTATTACATATACCTTCGATCGCAACAACATGTTCGCGAATCTGTTTTGCAACATGTGTGTCAGATATGAGATCTATCAAGTCATAAATAGCATATATGGATGGATGAACACTTTCGAAACGTTGTATTTCTTGTCTAATTGCAAGAGAATGATCGTGCACGCTCTGCTCAGTTGTCATTTTCTTGAAATCACTTTAAATTACTTTACGAGATCACATTACAGATACAGCCTTGAACTGCATTTCGCGTGCGTAGTCAACGATTAAAAGTATTTTCACATAATTTCACGTATCGAAATTCACGTGTTATCGAATAACACATGTCAAATTTGAATATTTATAAACATTATTGGTCTTAGAGAAACCGGAGGTTATCTGACACTGCTGGTGCATAAAATAACTCCGCCTTCTGGGAAACAACAAAATTAGAATATCTTGTCAAGCTGCCAATGAAAAATTATTGAAGTAAATAGTAATTTCTTGATCGGTTATTCGATGGAAATAGAAAACTTGTGACGTGAAAAGATACGTTATCGAAATATATACTTTTTTCCTTTTTACGTAAACTAACTGCGAAACTTCATGATATTATGGATCAGTTGCCTAAAAAGCATACGATAGCTTACGCTTACATTGCCAACCCATAAATGTTAGGTCCCGTTGTTCGATGCAATTGCATGCAATTTGCATTTCAATGTAATATAGACTTTACCTTATAAGAACATACCACTATAGTTTTTAATATTTAATAAAGATCAGTTTAATACAAAATAATTTTGTCACAATTAGCTGTAATAGAATCTGTTTTATAACAATATAAAACTATCTATTTGGTGTTGTAAACGCAGATGTAACTAGAAAAATTCTATTTATCACGTGGAAAACTCGAAAGACAAATCAATTGTGTAACGCAGTTTTTAACAATTATTGTTCGTTTCTCAGGATAATTCTAATTTTGATTATATTGTATTACAGGTAAATTAAGATTAAAGAAAAAATATTATTTATCGGTTTATTATAAGTATCGTAAAATTGGTTATTGCTTTGTTTATAGCGTCCGTTTGCCTAAGTAACGGCATTTTACAGAAATATTCATGATGACTGCTGCACAACTTGATGATGATATTTATGATGGATATAACGATTATTCATCAGTATACAATATCAAAGATATTGAACAAGATGATTTTTTTCAAGAAACTCTTAATACAGGATATGGAAGAAGGTCGATTGTAAGTGACAGTAAACATATCTTATATTAACAAAAACTGTTTATTGTTTTCGATAAAAAAAATCTGATTTTTTAATTTTACAATAGTTTACACCAAAGGTGCCTGGTACTGCAATGCGTTTAGGTACATCAAGTGGAGTAAGTAAGATAATAAATTTAGATAGTATATTACAAAAAATAGTACAGACAACTCATTTAAGTTGCCTGTGTTAAATTTTTTGCTGTGTATGCATTTGCATTTTATAATGTTATTGCAATATTTAACTTTGTTTAATGTTTCCAGTTTCATAGAACCGGTACAGGTATTTCTGTACGTCCAAGTACTAGTGGTATTCGGCCAATGACTGCAGTCAGAGGTGCTGGTTATACCAGCAGCAGCCGCCAACCTTTTGATCCACTTAATATGAGTAGTAGTGTTAAAGGACCTGCACCACCCTTAGAAACTGGGAAAGAAGACACGTAAGATCATAATATTAATCACTATTACTCTATACAAGGTGTTCTGCCACCCCTGGGAAAAATTTTAACAAGAGATTCTAGAGACCAAATAAGACGAAAATCAAGAATACTAATTTCTTGATGGAGGCTTCGTTAAAAAGTTACTAACAATTAAATTCAAAAATTTCAAATCGTTCTGGAAAAATTATTTTCGGTTGCGGGGGTCAATTACAATCATTTTTGGTGAATAGACATACCTCCAAAATCCTATCCACTTTCGAGAAAAAAAATCGGGTAGGTGCTGAAATATTTAGGCGAAAAAAAATTTTTCAAATCGTTCTATAAAAATTATTTTCGGTTGCGGGGGTCGATTACCACCATTTTTGGTCATTACACATGCCGCCGAAATCCTACGCACTTTCGAGAAAAAAATTCCTTACCAAAAATCTAATTAGGTGCCTAAATTTTTGGACGGGAAAAAAAATTTCAAATCGTTCCGGAAAAATTATTTTCAGTTGCGGGGGTCAATTACAATCATTTTTGGTGAATAGACATACCCTCGAAATCTTGCGCATTTTCGAGACAAAAATTCAGTACGGGCGGAACTTTAAACGTTACTAACTTTTTAACAAAGCCTCCATCAACAAATTGGTATTCTTGATTTTCGTCTTATTTTGGCCACTAAAATCCCCCAGTAAAATTTTTCCCAGGGGTGGCTAAACACCCTGCATATGTAAAAATAAGATTTCAAAAGTTGATATTTTAATAATTTTTTAAACAGGCCGACAGAGAAAATAAAAGTAACTGAAAGAAAAATAATGGAGATAATAGAGAGTTCAGTAGAAGCAGCATATGAAAATAACATGAGAGTTGCTCTAGAGAGAGCAAGAGAAGCATCTTCAAGAGAACGGGCTCTTATTAGACTGCAAGAGCAAGCTGGACTCAGTGACAGTCACAATGTAGATTTAACATTTGCTGTAAGGATCAATATTTCATTTATTATATGTAATTGAAAAGGAAAGCATTGAAAATATTTAACATTATGCAATTTTTCAGGTTATTTTTAATTTGGCAACTCAATATACCAACAATAATATGTTTACAGAAGCTATAGCTACATATCAAGCTATAACAAGAAATAGAATGTTCAGTAACAGTGCTAGACTTAAAGTGAATATGGGAAATATATATGTTAAAATGGGGCAATTGTCCCAGGCAATTAAAATGTATAGAATGGCATTTGATCAAGCACCAGCAGCTCATAAAGATTTAAGGTAATCAAATAGCAGTATATTGTTAATATAAATTGTTGGGTTTCTGTTACTGAATTTTTATGGTTATTATTTATATTAATAATAACTTGCTGCTAAACAATTCACAGAATAAAAATAATGCATAACATTGGAATGTTATTTGTACAAATGGGTCGTTTAGAAGAAGCAGCTAATAGTTTTGAATGGGTGATGAAAGAAAGAGCTGAATTTAAAGCAGGGTTGCATGCTGTTTTATGCCATTTTGCGTTGTCTCATAGAGATAAAATGAAAAGAGCATTTTTAGAGTTATTAGAAGTTCAACTTAACATAGATCAGGAGGACAGATATAACATAAGTACTGTGAGTTGGGCATGTTCAAAAATGTCATTATATAAAATGTTGCTTTCAATATAGCCCACACTCAGTAACTATAAGCATTCTACCAACTAAGAAATTGCAATTTTTTGCACATATACTTTGGCATAGTAATAAAAAATTATTACTTTCTGAATAATAAACACTAAGCACAGTGCACGTATAAATCGTTGACTCTTAAAAAAATATCTATTCTGTTCTTTTCAAAAATTGTATTTATGCATTTTATAGGATGATGTTGTTTCTAATATATTAAATGAAACTTTGAAAAATGATGATTTATCCAAGTTAGAGAAAGAATTGAAATTGGAAGCTGAGAAAACCATACTTTCTGCTGCAAAACTTATAGCACCTAGTATCGAGGATACGCTAACCGCGGGATTTGCTTGGTAACTTTTTAGGGTTACGTTACCGTAAAATCAACTTGATCACATTGTTGATTCTATTAACTATAATCGTATGTCGTTAAGGTGTGTCGATACTATAAAATCTTCAGCTTATGGGCTACTAGCTGCTGATTTAGAAATTAGTAAAGCTATGGTATTTTTACACAATCGAGAAACTCAGTTAGCTATCGATACATTGAAAATGTTCGAAAATCGAGAAAGTAAAGCTAATAGCGCAGCTGCGACCATGCTTTCGTTCATTTATTTCCTTGTGAGTTCTTGTACCAGATATACAGATTATGAATTACATATTAGTATTACAATTTAATAATTTTTATTCAACTCCTAGCAAGGAGATTACGATCAAGCAGAAAGATGCGGGGAAATCGCTCGAAGTGCGGATACTTACAATGCGGCAGCTTATGTTAATTTATCCGCTTGCGCAATCAGAAAGGGCGAATTACATATTGCTAGAGAGCTTCTCTTTTGTGCGTTAGACACGGATGCTAGTCACGTGCAGGCGCTTTATAATTTAGGTAATTTTTATTAACAGACGTATGGAAACGGAACATTAATGAAATTTTACTTAATAGGATTAGTGTACAAAAAACAAGGTATGTACGAGGAAGCGTTGGAATGCTTTTGGAAAATTCGTAATATTGTTAGACACGACCCACAAACGCTGTATCAAATTGGTCATTTGTATCAACTGACGAACGACATAGACCAGGCATCGGAATGGTATTATGATCGTTTCTAAATTTTATTTCCAATTTGAGTATCGCTATGAATAATTAACTTATGTAAAATTATTTTGAAACGTAGGTTTAATCAGTTGCTGGGTATAATACCATCTGACCCTGGAGTTCTGCAAAAGATAGGGGAAATGTATGATGGAACTGGAGATAAGCAACAAGCATATCAATTTTATAGCGATGTAAGTTTTATCATTCGTGAATTATTTTTTTTACACTCTATAATTATATTAAAATTTCGATGTATTTAGTCTTACAGATTTTTCCCTGCAAATTTCGAAGTAATTGATTGGCTTGGGTCGTATTTTGTGTCAATGCAGGTAAAGATTTTAACGTTCTTCTTTTGTATCATATATATGAAATACATTGTTATTTTGTTATATATTCAAGGTTGCCGAAAAGGCTTTAGTTTATTTCAAGAAAGCAGTGCAACTTGCTCCCGATGATCCAAGATGGCGATTACTTGTCGCGGCATGTTTAAGACGAACTGGCCAATTTCACAAAGCTCTTTTAGAGTATCAAGATATTCACGAGAAATTTCCTGAAAATGTTGAGTGTCTTAAATTTTTGGTTCGTTTATGTAGCGATCTTGGTTTAAAGGAGGCACAGTTATATGCAACGGAATTAAAGCGAGCCGAAAAAGCAAAGGAACTAAAAGATAGACAAGGATCGGCAAGACAAGGTACAGGGAATGTATATTTTTAAACTTAGTATACGTTGTTACATGTATTGGTTTGGAACATAACTTCGTGCCGCTTTTTTTCAAATTTTCTCGCAAGATGTGGAGAATACAACAGATGTTCCAACCCAATACATAAAATTGCTGTATTTACGTTCGTTTATAGGATCGAGAATGAGTAATAGCGGGGCGTCATCGCGAACTGGTTCAGGAATGAGTGTATTGTCAGATCACAGGTCGAGTCCCACTTTTGGCAGAAGAGATGCTCAAAGTTTGAGTAGTGCTGGTGTTTCACGACCTAACCGAATGTCTACAACTGAAAATTACGCAGAAACGGTGTCCGATGTGAACGATCAACCGAGTACGTATTATTCAAAATTAAAATCCTTGTATGAAATATGTAGTTTGAACGTTAATCCAATTTTAAAAGCAGTAGACGTCTTTTTTTTCGAATTCTTTACGAGAGTTCTGGTAACATTAACGACCGAAAAAATATGTATTTCGAATTAGAAGACATATACATATAATAATATAACATGTTAAAGTACTTTTGATCATATTGCCTTCTCAAGTATGGAATATTTGATGGACTTATCAAAGTTTCAGAGTTGCGTAGCTTTATTTGAAATGACCATTAACAAGAATGATTTATAGATGATGGTTGAATTGCCCTAATGGATTGAACAAATGATAAATGGGTTTGGCTATTTTAAACAGTCCATTCTTGCTTCTTCCCTATATAGTACTTCTCAAACTTTACGCGGGTCTATAATATATTTCGAATAGTTAAAAATGGCGTATAATTAAATGCTAGATAAGATGATGTCAATCTGCAAATTGCCAACTAAAAGAGCAAACGTTATGAAATATTTTATTCAGGTACTTCGTATGTAGATCCGGTAGGTCCTCTCCCTATTCGTCCCATGACGTCCATCGGGAAAAGGGACGATGATTTTGGCGACGAAGAACTCGGTGATGATCTTTTACCGCAGTAACGTGAAATATAATGTTTATCATTTCTTTATTGCACTGTACTGCTTCTACTAATGTAATATAAGTCGTATCGCGATTGATGTTTGTACAACTTTAGAAATTAAATGAAACATTGACAGAAAATTTGACGTCGACCATTAACTGTGTGTCAATGACTTCATGCGCGCTGAAATGCGTGTCATAAAAATTTCAAAAAAAGACAAATGTATATTCAAACAAATATCAATTACGTTCGCAAATAACGTTTTTATCGGCACTTTATAGCTAGATTTCAATATGCTTTCAGTCTAGACGCGTACTACGAATTCCTTAATTATCATTGCGGAGTGCAAGATGTTTAGTTGTGCGTAACATGGTGTCGTACATTATGAAGCCACGAGGGTCGACCGATTGTAACGATCTAAATTTAAACACGGTGGCCAATTTAATCAAACTCCATTCAGTGTATGGTAGTTTAGGAGACGGATGTTATTTTATTGCAGCTACTTTCAAACTTCATTCAACGGGCACAATGCGAGCGTTCCTTTAGGAGCATACGAAAGCGTGGGCAGTAACCAGCGCCAGAGTTGCTATCGTTTCTATGCATCTACTAAACTAGTACACGTGTTATAAATCAAGTGTTTTTGATTTAAAAATAATCGCGATAAACTATAATTTTTGTGATCGAGCTAACGAGCTAACATTTACCCTTTACGCCACGCAATAGCATCAAACATGGCGTCGCGACTGTGAGCACTTACCGTAGAGTAGCAGCGCATTTGTATCGAATTAACTCAATTCAAATATAGATAACAATTTTTCCATACATTTACTAAACTTTTTCCTAAATTCGTTACAAAGATAAACAATTTACGAATTTACACATAGAACATTGACGAATCTTTATATTAAAAATTTCCAATTCTCGTTCACGTAACGCATAAATACGTAATCGTTCATTGACGTCATTCGAATAAATTTTTTTCACGAAAAATCCTCATTCGACTAAACTTTCGTTCGCGACGTACGCACGAAACAAAAGTAATTCGTCGAATAGATACAAATTAATTCGACACTGTTTACACTCGTTTACAAACTGGATAATTGTGGAGTCATTTTGTCAGATACGACGACGATGTTTTCTTGATTAATATTTTTCATTTTTTTGTTGTTAAAGCGTCCCGTTACATTTCTTATTTCTACGTAAAGTCGGCATCGTGCTTAAATCGCGTGTGTGGCGCGATTACGATACGTTCATGTACGCAAAGTACCGAGCTACGTCCACGCGGGCCGTGTGCTTTCCCCACTACTCTATTAGGCGCTAAAGGAAGTTCGTCGTTACTAGCGTTGCCGTCGATGCACTCAATTATGCCAAATCTGACCACACTGCCGATACGGTTTCAAAGATCCGAGTAGTGGGGAAAGCGACGATCTGGAGGCACGACCGACCAGATAGTACTCCTCCGGGACCGAGAACATTACACGGTGTCCCACCCACGTCCTCGTACGTGTGCGTACGCTGTCACGTACTTACGTCTCTCACTCGAGGAACTTCACAGTCATTGACCTGTAACTGGACCGAACTAGATAGAAGAGAATCGCAAGTCGGAAGCGTCGGCGGAGTCAGCAGTCGCACATAGAAAGCGTTTGGGTGAGCTTGCGTTTCTCATATTCCTTCGTCGAGCGCGTGCGATTATTTGGCGCCTTTCGGGTCCCGTTGTTTATCGGCCGAACCGATCTTCGTTTCGAGTTAATTGCTCGTACATTTTGAAATCCGGAATCCGTTTGTTTATCCAGCCTCTGTCGACACGTTCGTGTCCTTATCGTTAAAACTAGCGGAATAAACGTAAACTTGTGTATACATCGCGAAGACGAGCCCACGAGGGAGCCTTGAAATGTTGCACGTGTTGTCATTTATCGTTAACGCTTTGCCAATGTTAGGTATCGTTTCGTGATGGCGATTCAGCCTTTCGGAATTCTGAAATTAACATTTATCGTTGCTCGTAAATATTCATATGTTGCCTTTCGCGTATTCTTCGATTAGACTTTGCCACTCGTGACTCTATTAACTTTCATTGTTGGCTGCGCGGCGACGTCGAACGGGACGTTAACGATCACGCTTGTCAGGCATCGTCGATCGTCGATGAAAATGTTGTTTTCGTTTGATCGTTACCGCGTGAAGCTTTCTTGCGAACCGTCGTTACGATGTTCGTTTTCTCATCGCGTCACGGCGGTTTGTTCGTGTCATCTTTATGCCATTGATATTTAAATCGCGCAGTTTATACGTAAGTACTGGTGTCTCGTTTTTCAATCGCGTGTAACAAACTCGAGGGATAGCCATCGAATGACAGCTATCGCAGACAACACGTGTTTTCGAACTTGTTCGGATCCAGTGATTTCATCAATAATTATAAAGTGACACTAAAAATAACGTCCAATAAATCAACGATAAACGAAATTCCAATAAATCGATCGCGCCTCGATAATACCCCAGTGCCACCTTATCGTGATATACGGTGCCGTTTCAGAAGACAATTATTACTTTTCTAACAGTTCGTTTATCGATATTCAAATGCAATCGATTTTAGAAACGATTTTATCGAAAAGCTCGACGAGCCGCTGGACTCGAGGGAATTCTATTCGATTAAGGTTTAATCGAGACCTTGGTGATAATGGTCTCGTAATTCACGGAAGCTCTATAATTCATGCGGTAAAGATCATACATAACCGGTGCATGCTCTTAACGAAAGGGTAGTCCATTATCGTGCGTGAAACGTACACTCTGAAACGTCACAAGATCTTTGGTATTCTAGCGTCACTGACGATCGTTTTTATCAAGATTATCATATTTCCCATATGTATATAACATATACATATACAGGGTGTTCGGCCACCTCTAGCAAAAATTTTAATGAGCGATAGTAGAGGCCAAAATAAGACGAAAATCAAGAATACTAATTTGTTGATGGAAGCTTCGTTAAAAAGTTATTAACAATTAAATTCAAAAATTTCAAATCGTTCTGGAAAAATTATTTTCGGTTGCGGGGGTCAACTACAATCATTTTTGGTGAGTACACATACCTCCGAAATCCTATCTACTTTCGAGAAAAAAAATCGAGTAGGTGCTGAAATTTTTCGGCGAAAAAAAATTTTTCAAAACGTTTAAAAAAAATTATTTTCGGTTGCGGGGATCAATTACAATCATTTTTTATCATTACACTTACCTCCGAAATCGTACGCACTTTCGAGAAAAAAATTCCTTACTGAAAATTCAATTAGGTGCCTAAATTTTTCAACGGAGAAAAAAAATTGCAAATCGTTGTGGAAAAATTATTTTCGGTTGCGGGGGTCAATTACAATCAGTTTTTGTCATTAGACATACCCACGAAATCCTGCCCACTTTCGAGAAAAAAAATAGAGAAGGTGTGAAATTATTCGAGAAAATTAAAAAATTGCAAATCGTTGTGGAAAAATTATTTTCGGTTGTAGGGTTCAATTACAGTCATTTTTGGTGAATAGACATACCCCCGAAATCTTGCGCATTTTCGAGAAAAAAATTCAGTAAGAGCGGCACTTTAAACGTTAATAACTTTTTAACGAAGCTTCCACCAACAAATTAGTATTCTTGATTTTTGTCTTATTTTGGCCTCTACTATCGCTCATTAAAATTTTTGCTAGAGGTGGCCGAACACCCTGTATACAGTGGCCTTAGAAATTGCACCATCTTCAAAGTTGGACTTTGATTTCTGAACAATGGACAGTAATATTCGAATTTTCTTCGAGATTTCACTTGTCTTGATTGTCGCTTCAAAAATACTAATTTTATATTCTGAAAACATTATACCGCCCATTTCTGCATGTAGTTGAGAGCAGTCTGATAAAATGAAATAGTACCAGCATGGTATTCTAGTAGTTGGTCTTGAGATATCCGGTCGTTGTGGTTTAGCTGTTGGTTGTGATTTGCTTGCCGGTTTCATGACTCAGGCACCTCACATAAATTTAATACAATTGTTCCGTCATCGAATAATAACTTATTCCTTTGTAAATTGTATTAACATATTTTTTTGTTTTAATTATTGTTTAATTTATCAAAATACAGACCCACTCGAATATCTTCGAAACTGTTGATAACGTTATTGTTTTGAAACCATAATTGATGCATACTGATAATAGAATTAAATCAGATTTCGAAAATGCTTTAACGTAGAGGATTAAAGCCGAAGATTGGACTACGGACGTCCAGATATAAATCTGTTGTACTGTAAACTCTGGGATATTCTTGAGTAAAATTTGCTAAACTACATATTCGTTAATCTGGTGGGTCGATACCGAGCGATACACGAATGGTAGATCATCGATCGCGATAGGTGGACTCGTAGATTATCGTCAATCGCGTCTGAGATCGCGTCGTTGATAGTTACATCACAAGTTGCTAACTATTTTTTTTAAATTACTCTCAATAATAATAGTGGATCCAGAAGAATACAAATAGTCAAGAATCCGTGTAAAATTTACAATTAAACCGAAGAAAAATAATAATATAATGCATAAAAGGTTAAAAAAGTTTTTGTGAACATAAAGTTTAACCATAGTCGCGAACATATTACTCGGAAACGAAGGCTTAGTGGCGGTAAGATGTATAGGAAAAAGTTGTTCAAAATAATTACCTTGGTAACATGGGGGGCGGCCAATTTCTTAAATAATTACCTAATTATGTTTTTCTCTGCTGGTTAGGCGACCTTACCCTTTGAGCGGTGTCGGAACCAGGAGGCGTCTTTTGTATCGTGGCCGATGACGCGGTCCATAGAACGAGTGTGTATATCGCAGTGCGGATTAGAATCGTTACGTCGGGTCAACTGGCTAAATTATCCTGGTTGACGTTTTGCACCTTCCAATTGATTTTAATGGACTCTGATGGCTCGGAGGAATATTCTAGCGGGCATTTTGCGGTGCCTTCTTCGGGATTGACTGTGAAAAGTCGTCGAGCATCACGAGTCAACCACTTCTCGGCCGAGTTTATTTTAGTAGGCGGTTTAAAAAAGAAAAAAAAAAAGGATCATTAGTACGACTTTTTTAATATTTATTTCAGAGATTATTTTGTTCCCAAAATATTTTTAGGTAGTTATTATTATCATTATTTGTGTCTCTTCGATCCAGCATCCCCTCCTCTTTCATTTCACTTTTCTCCATTTCTTCACGTTCTTCGATTTTTCTTCTCAGTTTACATAATTTACAGTTTCTTTCATCCACTTACAGTATATATATTTTGATGCAGTCAAGGGGATATAAGGGTGGTTCTTAAATACAGTTTTAATCCATCGAGAGATAGCACAAAATAGATAATATCGCGTTCGAGTTATGTAGATATCAGTGAGTCCGTCGGTGGTATCAAGTGGCTTTATGCTTTCGATGCATGCACGACTACCAGTCGGCGACAGACACATGTTTGTTGCAGTTCTATAATGAATGAAACCTGCGACCTTGAATGTGCCCACCATGTGCTTTTGTACCATTTGTGCCACACCAACTTCGTTCTAATAAGTTGATATTCGCAATGTACACTGCCGACCAAAAGTTTGAAATTACTGTCTGAACTAAAAGAAACAGGATCTTATTAACAAAAAAATTTCAATTGTTAAGAAATGACAGTCTAAACATTCTCTTCGATTTATTTCTAACGTTTCGTTTCTTTTTACAAGTACCCTTAACACGATTCAGTCGAGTAGGGTCATTATCTTGTTAAAATTTCTGCCTATTAACCGTCGGTCCTGATGGTGTGTTGCTCGAGTCTTTCTTTTCCATTCTATTTTCTATTTTTATCAGTCCTCCTACCCCGACTATTGAGTAACATCCTCACACCATACACGACTCGTCACCATATTTGTTATTGGGCACAATTCACACTGACGATATTTTGTTCCCACAGATACGGACAAACGTTTTATGGTTCAACTCAAAAGCTCGGAAGTGGTTCTTAACATTTTGACGTGTCTGTAACTTTGACAGTCAGTTGTTATCGGTCGCTGTCACGTGTACATGATTTTACTATTTCAGTCGCCATGTTAGTATCCACTCAACTTATTATGTTTGTTCGAGTTCAAGTTTTATCTGATACACACACTATTGTATTTCCACATTTATAATTTTTTATAACAATACTGCTAGCATTCCCGTGCGGTTCACTTTGCAGAAAACTGTCTGAAATCGTTGATATCGTATTATAAAATGCATTAAGCTACGAAAATGTGATGCAGAAATTTATGCACAGATTCTGCAGTTATTTAAACTTGGTACATGGCCCGAAGTCAGATCCCAGTTAGATTATTAGGGTTAAACGATTTGAGTTCAATCTGTGTCGTTTCGGAAACGCTAACAGGACAATTGAATCTTTATTTAAGCGGACTATCGTCGTTTATGCGCAATCTGGAACGAGTTCACTGCAATCTGCCGTGAACGATAGTGCGTAATGTATTATTCGTCGAGCCCCTTTTCGGCGATACGATTCCCGGGGTTCCGTTCGAAAGTTACGTACAATTTCGTTCGTACCGTGTTTCTTTTGATCGTAGAGTTTATCTGTAGATAAGAGTAAGTAACTAGTCATCGTAATATAATTGTCACGGAAAAACTGCAGATGGGGACTAACTGGGAAACAGGTAGAACGTGTAATAAAAATAAGACGCGTCGATGGTATGCGAGAGGCACGCTGTGCACCTTGGCGAATCTTGTTCCTCGAACGAGTTCTTCAACTTTTATGACCTTACTGTGCACGTTAAACCGAGCCTTCGTTTTTTTACGTACGAATGTTTCAATCCTTCATTGACGGACTCGCTCGGTATACAGGGTGTCACGCGCAACTGGCAAAAGCTATATCTCTTGAAACAGTTGTAGATACCAGAAAATGTCGAAACGCAAAGTTGAACAGCATTAAACGATGAAAATACTTTGCCCTTTGTTTCTTCGAAGAAGTATTGCGAGTGACTGATAAAATTGAAGCAACATTTCATGTATGTCATCGAATGTACATACAAATAAAACAATGATTATCGTTTGTAGTTTTTTATTTTATTTCGATTCAAAGTTCCACCGCTCTTAGTGGAAATCCCAGGAGAGTATGGAATATTTGAAAATACGCAATCATCAGATGTTTAGAAACGTCGGTCGCACTTGACTGGATCTTCGTGCATTTTTTTTTTTTTCTAAAAACGGAGTACAATAGCTTACGTATAACATAGATACGTAAGACCAGGCATGCAAAACGAGTGCGCTTGCGTGGCGTGTGATTGTATGCGGGCGTTGAATGTGTCCGGTGAACACGCCACTTATGAAAACATCACCAAGAGAAATCCACGAAGAGAAGTGAGTCGAGGAACATAGAGAGATCGCGTACATTCGATTCTTCGTCGGTCGGATAAAAAGATCCGCGAATCGCGATTCGGAGGGGTGATTAGTGAGTGGGTGAACGCAACAGACTCCTCATGGATTTTCCACGAGTATCGAAGCGTCGCGTGTCGGACATGGTCGCAGAGTACTGCAAGTTCTCTTTCATTCGTTATAATGTTATCGTTTCCATGACACGAGGATCGAGATAGAGTGTAACCCGTGAAAAATATCGATTAAACATATCGTAAAATTTGTCGCGATCTCTGAGAGTTGAGCAACTTTTTACAAACAGTCTTAAGTTTGCCCAAAAACATCTTGTGTCGTTACGTTAGCTTTTTACGACAACATAGAGCACACATCTTAAAAAGGTTGTTAACTTCATTTTTTCTTTCCTTAAATCTCGCCTTAGATTAATTAACGTAACGTGTCGATGCTTCCAGAGATTAGGATAAATTTTACGATACATCTCAGTGCTTCTCAAATTGTACCTCTTCACGAAACTCTTCGACGAAGGAAAGGTTTTGGTAACTTTATGAATCGTCGACGTTGGTACGTTTAAAATATCAAAAAACCCCTGAACCGACGAACTCTGTTTTTTTTCTCTACCAAGTTATTTTTATCCTTACGAATCTGAGAATGTCGAACTGTTAATGTTATCTTCATTAAAATAGATACGTGCCCGAAACATGTAAATTGCATACAGTTCTTTTCTCCCGATATAAACGTATTTTTGATTATCTGAGGTTACCTGAAGATCAATATGTCACATGCGATAGAATTTGATTAGAATCCACATCGCGGCGTTAATCAAAATATGTTATCCCTTTAAAAAAAGTGGCGATAACCTTGACAAAATATCCGTTTATCTCCATATTCGCGATTTCGAGACGTCCCTCTTTAGCTTTCATTGATATTTTTAAACCATACAGAGATATTCTGGATGCTTGCGTAATATATGTTTCTTTTTTTTTGTGAAAGTTTGAGAAACACTGATATACTCGATTGTTGTCCGAGTAAATTATCAAATACACATGTATACAATTCAGCACGATCGGAGGATTAGCTGTACGAATATCAGTACCGTTTAGCGAGGTATCTGATAATTTGGAAGCCTTAACTACACAAGATAAACGTTACGTGTATGTACACAGTACTTTTTTTCATTTATTCTTTACGTTCGGTTCATCCCTTCAGATCGTCTAGAAACGTGATCTTGGAATTGTTTCGTGCGCTGTATCCGAGCAGAATATCTTGGCCAAGGTCTCTGGCGCGCCACTAAATTATGGAAAGAATGTATACACGTGTATTTATCAATGAACTATGAGATAATGTTACGACAGATGATGACCCGTAAAACAGCAAGTACACGCCTCTGTAATTACGTCGGTCAAGTGTCTGTAGAATCTTGGTAAGTTTTAATCAAAATCTGGAGCGCCGTTTTTTCTTCCACTCGTGATCGATACCATTGAAACAGTTCGTAATATTTGCCAACTAGCTAACACGGTCTGTCTAATAAATAATGGATCTTGTAAATAATGAAACGATATCGATGGTCGTATCGTCCATACACTTGTTTTTCTTATTCGTAATACGAGTACGAAATATTTAAAATTTCCATGTGCATGTTCGTGAACCCCTTCCGAAATCTAGCTGCGACCCTCTTGTGGGGTCAGCGGGCCACAAGTTAAAGAACCACTGTTTTAATTAATATATTTATGAAAATATTTAACGCGTGCAAGCGGTATCTTCGATTCAATGAAAGAGACGCAATCGGGAAATATTGTGACGTACACGAGTTTGTTAATTTATTTCTGGATTAAGTCGGCGCGTGGACTCGTATGGGGAACAGTTGACCCCCGGTGGATCTTGAGCTTTTACACGATGGATCAACGTCGACAACCGGTACAATGCCATAGAAAAATACCCAAAACTTGGACCGTGAATGTTTCGAAGATCTTGTACGAATCATGGTGGATCCTAGCTATTCGTACGCTTAGGCTTGAATCGTTTCACCGTCGTAAGGTTAAGAACCAGTGCACTGTAGAGCCTTACTCTCGATAGCGACTCTCGATTCATCCAATGGACACCGAGCACGATGTAGTTGGTCGAAACGAGGAATGCGTGTCTCGTGGTTTGTCCCGTCGAAGAAGACGCGACGCAATAATTCACGATCGTTTGCGATTGCGTGTGGGCGTTGTTATCTTGCCGTTATAAATACCGTGGACTTTCAACTTTCCATTTAATAGTTCTTCTGCCGTTATCGTGGCTCGCCGGATATCGAGAGAAAGAGTGGTAGGAGGGAAAATAAATAACCGGGATATAGTAAACGGGAGCGATCTCTTTAACTCGTCCTCAGTACGTTTCTTGCGCTCGCTGAGTAACACGCCTCGCCGGTTAACGCTTTTATCATACGACGCGACCGATTCATTCACGTTCGTGGCCCGCGACGCGCGTCAGCTTCTTTCATTCGAACGAGTCCAATTTACAGATTACGTTCCGGGGAAACAAGGTGAGCACACGCTGCGTCGTACGTAATTATAATCAATCGACGATTTTCGCGCAGCATCCATGAAAAAACGTTTCTATATTCTGGTAAATTATACCAATACACTACTACGTAAGATAGTTGACAGGCTACTCATAAAATCTTATAGATCATGGTCCTCTTCAAAACGATTCAAACATCTTTAAAGTTAATCTTTAGAACCCTGAGAAAAGAAGTAATCTTCATGGGATTATTTTAAAAACTGAAACATCTACTTTCGTGTCTGTATGTTCCATTTAAGTTAAGAAGCGAGTGAGAAAGTGAAGAGGGTGTCATTTTCAATGAAAGTGGGTTTAATGCAATGCAATGAGAGATAGCCAAATTTTTAGTTTACTTTAGTCGTTGTCACACCCACGTACGATATCGCTTCTACTCGAAGAAACATACACTTGTGGTGGGGATGATTCAGTTTCTTTAATCTTGTGCTAAAATGTTATCTTTGAGCAAAGGATTACTGTGTCTCTCGATCGAAGAATTAAACTACGAGGGACAATTATAAAAGTTCTTTTTATCTATAACTACAATGTATACTTAGCTATTTTTTAAATATAATCACCTTCCCTGTTTAAGAGATTTTCAGTTCTCATCGCTATTTTAGAAGTATGAAACAAGAACAATAATTCAGTTGATTTATGTCTACATACGAATTAAGCTGCTTGACCATCTATAAGAACGTTCAATTGTTTTATGTGGTTTCTACGCTTAAACGGGTATTATTTTCTGAACGACGCTCGTAACTCTAGCGTTTTATTAGTTACAGCTAACAGAGTATGCAAACGTCTTAACACGTTATCTTGGATAGTTACAAAAGAAAAAACTGATACAGCTTGTCTTGAATTTTGTATTTAAAATTCCTGCTTCGAATATGGTTTATCTAACCGTGGATGATTTATTTTTCAGACGATACGAGAGCCCCGTAGACATGGTCGTTCCCACAGAATATGCTCTCATCGAGGCGATACAGGTAGCACCTCTTGTGCTTTCGGACGATGTGAGACGACAAAAGGTGAGCAGATTTGTTTCCATGGCGCAAGAAACGTTTAACATAGAATTTTGCAAATCTTCTTCCAAGAACATGTAAAAAAAAAGTCTTTAAAGGGCTAACTAAACAGGGGTTGTTTTGAAAATTCAAAAACATTAGAAACATTGACTGTACGTATAGTAGTTCTTCCGTAACGCAAACTGATTTTTCTGACAGTATAAGTAAATGTGTAAGTGAATATTATGAATATCTTACAGATATTCAAAGTAATCTCTATTATACTCTGCTATTGCGTTACTGAATATGTTACACGGTCACATTGGACATTTAACCCGTACCTAATTTCAAGTGAAAAATCTGTACGACTTTAGTCACCAGATATGTTTCGCTTGTTTATTCAACAGCCGGAGATGGGTAGCCAGCAGTAGTTTCGAGCAAGCTCAATTTGAAGTAGAGAGATATCCTTCTCGCTTACATAATTGATCGATCTTTGTTGGTCGGGTAACTGACGACAACGTTGAATCATTACTGATTCAAGAAACGGCGAACAGAGAGTCCTTAACCTTGCGACACTCTCGTTAAGAGTTTACTGACACCGATCGATCGACCGTTTATAGATACTTTCACTCTTGCTCGTACCAATCTCCGACGCACCGTCCCGCTGCGAGCAATTAACTTCGTCCGAGACACGTGTCTCTCTCTGGCATGTGGAATTAATTACGTAATGCTTGTCACTGGCGCGGAAAAATGTTTCACTTATGTGTATTGTCGTATCTTCATCGCATTTTAGCGTCTCTCGGTACGCTTCGATCTCAGAGCGGCCGCGCGTGGCGTGTGCGATTGAAATAAATGATTCGACTAAACAGATAATTCAAGAACATCGAAGAAAAATACGAAGAAATATCGAGACCAGACCAGATTCAAGGTACACTGGGCTAGATTACACGCGTTTATCGTGCGTTTAGTCGCGAAATGCTCATAAATCGTTCGCTTATCGTGCCCTCTAAGACTCAGGGTTATCATAGGGCATGTTAAAAGTTGTAGATGCTCGACACAAGTTTATCATCGGCAATACGTTTCTCGCGGTAATAGAATTGGTAATAGCGTTCGATAGGATTTGTGTGTCACAGTGGCATCGACTAGACCAACGCTAGACGAGCTTAGAAATCAAAATAATTATCCGTTTCTGGAACATTAATTTGATCAATTTCCCCTGTTATTTTGCTTTTGTGAAAAACGCGCAGTATACCTATATCTATCAAGATGGGTCACTTTGACCCCTGGCACTCTAACCGTTTTCGAGATATGGCTTTCCCTAGTCGCGTGGGACGCTCTGTATTATTATTCTTGCAACGATCGACCGAAAGAATATTACGCTGGGTCACATTGGCAAACAGCTTCCATAGAGAACGTTATATCGCGAGCTGTAAGAGACTGCCCACTCACTCTTTCCGCATTCGATTAAAACAGTTCGAGCAATGTCACGGTCAGTTCCTGCTTCCTTTTGTCGCTACATTGGCAATTTCCTTTCTCCGATATCGCAAAATCGATGCAATCGAGATAAGCGTCGCGGGGATGCAGCGATAATTTCGTCAGTGGCTGTCGTCCCTCTATTGCATCGACGACGCTTATCTACCAGGGGTGATAAATTTCTTTCCGTTCTCGTTGTTACATAATTTATACAACCAAAGATGGGTGCAATTTAATTCGAGCAATGGGTAACGGATGAAAACACGATCGAAAGTTTTCCACTCGCCCAGATCGTTAAATGTTTGTCCAATTACAGGGGGCGCGTTACTTGGCGCGAAAATAACGTTTGTAATTTGTTTCCAAACAGATTTTTGTTATCAAGCGAGAATGGCGGAAATGTGTCGGATTATAATTCACGAATGTCACGTGAAATCACGCAACAGCACGTGATCTCGCGTGATGGTATACAGATGTGTTTCTACCTTTAATGCCATGACATCGAATGCTACATTTGTCATCTAGAAAACTGCCGTGACATTCCAATTGCAAATGTAGCTTTGCTTTGCGTTGACAGCTTTTTCATTTCTCATTTATTCTGTTATCCTTTGCACAAATGATTCTTTCCTGAACGATTAGAGAACCGCAAAAATTACATCGTTTTACGCCGTGTTGCTTAATGACAAATGTTTATCAACTGTGTATGTCGCCATCGTGAAGTCGCGACCTATGTTACGCCATTCAAAGTCGTGACTTTGTGTCACATGAAAATGGACCTTTACAAGAGGAATTATTGCGAAACTTAGAATTGATTGTAGTTTGTCGGGCACGTAGTAACGTTGTCAACGAGGTTCGAAAAGCTTCCGAAAATAATGCTCTGGTCGGAACTGCTACGAACAACTACTTCGATTCGACTTATTCTTTCGCGAGAAATCACCCCCTTTTTCGTCGCATCAAAAATGGAAAATCTCTCCTCTAAACGTGACTACATTTTTTAGTCCAAAACAATGTTTTCATATTACCCGTGTACCATGTATATGATTCCTGAGTAAAGACCGACCTGACCCACATATGGATCAGCAGATAGTCAATGTGTTAAGCCATGCGGGGAAGACCAATTTCAGATTCTATGTCTAGTTAGTGTTTGCGAATAGCAGTGTGAATGCAGAAAATGTCAAAAGATTGCAATATTTTGTTTACCCACAGACGAGCAATCTTTTAGGGGAGATTTTACATGCCAAAATAAGACAAGTATCGAGAACGAGGAAGCAGCGTTGAGAGCTTTTACTTAACGATCTAGAAGGAAAATATTGTAATTGGAAAAATTTCGAGAACCCTACTGTTAAATTTTACGGTTGAAAAGCGTGGAGAAAATTGATTTTCGACGCGTTGATTGTCGAAATAAATCTCCGTCGTTTTGCGCAATTGGCATAACTCGATACTCGTACATTTCGATATTTCTAGTTTTTCTTGTCTTTCGTACGTCGTTTTCATATCGGTTTTCTGATATTTTTACGGCTCGCCGTGGCGGCGATGGTTGCGTGAATGCAACCGGTTTGCCTTCGCGGAAATGAAACATTAGTACATATTATCTGGCCGTAGGAACTTTGTTTTCGATTCTCGCCTACGTACGACGAACTTAGGGGAAAACCATCGTCGATCGGCGGTATGGAAAAACGAAGGAAACTGTACGTGGTGGCAGTAGTTAGCTGTGTTAATTGGTTACCGCTGTAACGTAACGATCGTTATGTAAACGGGAATGCACAGAGCGTTAATTCTACGGTTGTACGGGAAAATTCCTTTTATCCGCGGAATCTCTGTCGGTCGTACAGTGGTCAGTTTTAACAATCCAGATGAACTAAAGCTCGCAAGCGACGTTCCTAGGAACTACAGAAATCCATTTAATTCTTAAAGCAGGCATTGTAAAGCAATTAGCCGCAGTAAAATTATTTCTTTAAGATAAATACTGTTTTATTGAAGTTGTCATAAAACGAGATAATAGAATATGTTTTCAATAAATATCGATCGTCGGAAAAACATCAATTGATTAATACTGGATACGCTTCAGCAAACGTAAGAAACATTATTACGGTCATAATTCTCAATTATGTTTATAAACTTTCTCAGATATGGGCAGGATTAGTCATTATGTAAACTAATAAATAAACTTGATTAAAATAGTCTCCTGTATCTAAGTTTTACTATTTACTATCGTTATTCTCGCGTTAGATTCTTTATACGCCATTCGTCACACTTAATTTTTCTTACTCCACCATTATTCGGGTCAATGTTACCGAAGAGGGTTCAAGCCTTGGACCGGAACGTTTAACACGAATAAAGTTAAACTATGCTCGAGCTATTTGGCCAAGTTATGTATTAGCTATTTGATTAAATCCGCATTTATCAGTATTAATTGTGCAAACTATCGATGCATGGATTCGATGTTACGAAACACGCCATTCTTTCAATTGAACGGTTATCGAAAGATGCACCGAAGTGTCTATATAAAGAAATAAAAACTCACGCGAGCAAAATATTCTGCAGATTTCATTTACTTATTGAAACTATCAGAATTGAAAAAATGTCTTCAAAATTCCGTTTATAATTTTCTTAATCTAGATTGTTAAAATTGTCCGCTGTGAGTCGTCGTGCATGGAATCGTCAGAGTTGTTTCTGGCGTGATTTATTGTCTGATCGAGTGCTCCGCTTCTGGTCCGCCTATTAGAATCCCATTAGAGATCACGTAACAGGGTAAACAGCAACTCAAGATCTTGCAGAAACGTTTTGTCGCGGCGTAACGAGCATTCATAGACCGCGGAAAATTTTCTGCCGCGATAACGATTACGCGGTTTGACAGACGACGCAATTTAAAGGGCTTTGTTCGCAGATCGAGCAGAAAGTGGCGCAATTGCAATTTTCGGCCGCGACCGTGAGGGAGATCCAGGACGTCTTCCTGTCAGAAATGAACAGGGGGATTCATCAGCAGCCATCGTCGTTGCAAATGGAGAACACTTACGTCCCGGAACTCCTCGACGGCACAGGTTGTTACGACAGCCTTTATCTATATTTTTTTTTTCCTTTTGTTGTATGGTGGCCTCATGCAGTCGGGTGTTACGTTCGACGAGTTGATAAACATTTTTACGACACGCGATAAACGTTGATCTTAGGTCGACTATCGATGTAAGACTTTGCGACCGTATATCCGTAATCCTTCTTAAGAGAGTAGAAAAATCGTAATGCTTGTTTTGTTGCAGTTAGAATTGTTAGAGGAGTTCGCGTTCTGTTTGAAAATGATTTCGACATCGACGATTTGTACGCGGAAGTCTTTGAGAAACGATATCCCGTTTACTGAACATTTTTTTCGAACAGAATTAAAACTTTCCGCTGACTGAAGCCGCAATGAAATATTTTCACAGAGGAGGGTCTCTTTTTGGCGTTGGATCTCGGGGGCACGAACTTCCGGGTGGTTTTATTGGAGCTGGCTCATGGAAAACCTATAAGAGATGAAGTGAGGAAGTATCACATTAGCTCCGATTTGAGAGCCGATTCGGGGATTCGTCTGTTCGATTATTTGGCCAAATGTGTCAGTGATTTCGTCATCGAGCAGGGTCTTCAGGACGTAGAGCTTCCCCTTGGTAAATTGGAATCTCTATATACGGGGTGTCCAGCCAGAAACAGGATACCTAATTATCTATTGCATTAAAATTATTATTTTTTTTTTTCCAAGATTAACACATTTCTTCTTTTGTCTATTGTACTAGTTATGTATGCAGCTATGCATAGAATATGACCTTAAGTCGACATTGCACTAGGAAATCTTAGACACGATGCTTGTTTTCATCGAGTCTCTAGGATTCAGTGGCGACAGAAGGTGATCTGTGAATGTATACAAATGGTGCACAATCTTGTGTATCAACATACTACAAATATGTACAGATACATAAGATCTGCTTGCCGTCATGAACGTTAGGCAATCCATCAGTCTGTTGATAAAAGTGTCACATCGCATTATTCAAAGCAAGAGAGAAAGCTAAAGGAAATTGTATATCATCAAGGGCTTACTGCTCCGCGGAACGTGACGAGTAGAATGATTAGTCCTTGCCATACTACCATGCCGGAAACAATTTAAATTAACTACAAGCGAGCTTATTTATCACCGTTTCGGAGTTCTCTTTTTTAAAGTCGATCTATTCGCGGCGAAAACATACCAGCGATTTCGAATATTCTGAAAGAGTCTTTCGAGGAAAACGTCATATTCACGGTATGGAACCATTCAAATTATGTCTACAAGTGAAGAAGATAATGAGGTATCCTGTTTGTGGCTATATGTTATTAGCACTTCATACTATCAGCTCTTGTGTATCTTGTTTCACATTGATTTTGCAAATTCAAGTGGCTGACACTCGTTGTTAATCAAACACAGATTACATGATCTTATACGCGGTCGATAATTCTTTAAACATGACGAGTAACGTTAAAAGCGTGTCCGGGGCGTACGCTTCTTTACTTTTTTTCTGCCGAATCTATCGCTATTGTTATTAGCATATTACGTCCTTCCTAGGTTTCACCTTTTCATTTCCTATGATTCAACATTCCTTGGACATTGGGATACTAGTAACTTGGACGAAAACCTTTAGTTGCCCCGATGTGGTGAACGAGGATGCTGTGAGATTGCTTCGCGAAGCTCTGGCTCGTCGCGGCGATACCAAAGTAAATGTTGTGGCCATTTTGAACGACACTACGGGTACCTTGGTTCAAGGATCGACTTTGGATCCTGATACAGCGATTGGACTCATACTAGGTACTGGAAGCAACGCATGTTATCTTGAACGTGCCGAACGAGTCGAGCATTGGGAGACCGAAAGACACGGAGAACGCGAAGTAAATTTCTTTTTTAAACGTAATTCTTTGCTACAAAGTTGACGTTGTTTATTGAATACTAAATCGATCGTTGATATCGAAGGTTATCATCGACATCGAATGGGGTGCATTTGGAGATAACGGTGTCTTGGACTTCATCAAGACAGATTACGATCGCGAGAACGACGCGAACTCTCTTATTGTAAATTCATTCACGTGAGTAACAAAAGTCATTGACGTATAGAGTAAATTTAACTTCTTGACAAATTTATTATATCATATTTTTTCAAACTTTTAGGTTCGAGAAGTATATTAGTGGAAAATACTTAGGCGAACTCGTGCGAATAGTGCTCACGAGGTTAACCAACGAAGGACTTTTATTCGTAGGGGAACACACGCCGGGATCTATTCTAATTCCTGGAAATCTTACCAGCGATTTGGTCTCGGATATCGAACAGTAAGTGATTTAAAAATAAAAATATCTCGCACGTACTTCGTGCACGGGGATTCCTAATTTTTGTCGATGTTGCAATGCAGAGACACTGTGGACGGCGATTACAGCAACACCATAGCAGTTCTGAGGAATTTCGGTATCGTACCGGACGAAGAGGACGTGAAAATTGTTCAGTACGTTTCCGAGGTAGTGTCCAATCGCGCGGCGCTCCTTGTATCGATATGTAAGTTCACAGATTTTGAAAACGTTTCATTACGAAGGATAAAATAATAAATACCAACCGAATTAATTTTAAGGTCTTGCGGTCTTGTTGAAACGAATTGACAAGGAACTCGTAACGATTGCTGTAGACGGATCCCTTTACAAGCACCACCCTAGACTGGAAATTTGGATCAGACAGTATATTCCATTGCTAGCTCCCGATCATAAGGTACATTACTTTCTCAGTTATGTTTCTTCGTACAAAATCAATTGATTAAATGATATTGTTTGCACAGTTCAAAATAATTCACGTTGAGGATGGGAGCGGAAAGGGCGCTGCCCTGGTGGCCGCAATCGCGCATAGACTTCAGGAAAGGACGTAATAATACAAATTAAAAATTCCAAGTACGCTGGCCTATAATAAGTTTTTGTTAGTGGTGTCAATGATACGCATCAGATCTCTAGTTAAGTCCCTATTGCAGAGTATAACGTAAGTTTAACGGCCATGTACAGTCATATTCCTTGTACTAATAATGTGATTAGTCATGTTGTTGATCTTCCACTTTTGGAGCACTTAGGTATATTTTTGTTCATGTTTTTTATTGGAAATTGGTGGTCGAATAAATAAAATAATTTAAACGATATAACTTTTACTAAGCTTTATTTGAAACATTTGGAAGGCACGTCTTTACGCATTGAAAGAAACATACAGAATGAGAAAGGTCAGTGACGAAGAATTCGTCCCGTATCCGTATCTCTAAACGCAACATACGCGTCGATGGTTTTTGTTACATAAAGAAAACTTTCTCTTTTAGAAGAGAAAAACCAACATTTTTAAACTCGTTGCGTACAAATTGTTATACAAAGAGTGTTGTTACGAGAATATTTCGTTGTTACTCGCTACGCGATAATCCAAAGAACTGGATCGATATCCTTTTGCCCGTTTTCGAGCGATTCATCGAGCTTGACAAGCACCTTGTCCTTGTTATATTTAGATATCGTTTGCTTTTGCAAGGAAAGCCTTGGAATACGTGATTTTTTAGAAGAATTAGTGTGTAATTCGCCTAGAGCGTTGTTCGTGCAGCGTTTATAGAGTTCATGCTTATGTCTGAACGCAAGAATTTATCTTCCTCGCGTTGTTCGAAATACTCATGTCGTTCTTTGTAATTAGAAGTCTTGCCTTTCATCGTCGTTACGTAAGGTCGGTTCGATCTTACACTCGCGTAGAGTGTAATTCATATATGTTAAAAAACAAACGTGTCGCTGGGTTCGACGTTTGATCTTTTGAAAATGTACAAAGTTCAATAGCGTTTGTAAAAAGTGTTACCGCCCTTTAAGGTAGACTTATGAAACTCGTATTACATACATGCGCCAAAAATGATCCACTTAGGGCGCAGGGAGAAAGTGTGGCGTGTGCGAAAGTAGTCGTGTGACATTTTTAGGAACAAAAAAAACAAAGGATCGATCACGATCGGGGTGTATAAGAGCGAGCATTTTTCGAGCATCGTTAGCGATTTGTTTACAGCTCCACATTAACAGTGAGACAAGATTGTTACGTGGACCATTAAGTGAAGCTAGACTAAGAGTGAGAGAGAGAGAGAGAGAGAGAAAGAGAGAAGAGTATATACAATGTAAAGATAAAGAAAGTGTTGGTAAACGTATAGAAATTGTAAAAAGAGCACAAATATTTGTAAAATACGTTATTATATCTTGTAAATGATTGCGAGGACGTTCGGGTTTTTGTACTAGAGGAACGTGGTGGTTATAATAAAAATTGAATCGAAAATTGATCCTTTTGAAATTATTGTGTTTCGTCGAGGTAACCTAATTTTGCAAAGTATTACATTTTCGAAGGTTTTGTTCCGTTCAATTCGATGGAATCAATGCAGTATCTTGCCCAATGGAATTGGTGCTTCGCAAGAACGCACGAAACGGGGAAAAAAGAAACATTCGTGTTCGTAGACTTACCTTTTATTAAATAATTAATAGGAACGCTATAGGATACATCAGCTACTGCTCGACTTGCCGTAACTTAGTCTATTGATCTTGTTGCTAGGTGGTCTGAGCGCGGTTCTTTCAAATCGAGCGGTGTTTCGCGGTAACGGCATAAGATGGCGGCACGTACGCGGTCGTCGAAAAGTGACAGCTCGGGAACTGTCAGCGGTATGCGCACCGCCGCGTTTCTGCTGCAAATAAGTGTTTTGTAACCTAACGAAACGACGGTTGAACTTCGTTACGAAGCGTTCTGCCGTTTCGAAAATCGAGACGGTTCACGGAGTAAGGATTTGGCCGTGTAAAATACAAGACAGTGCGCGAAACGGTGGGTGTGCACGCAAGAGGGAACAGCTTGCCGGCTCGGCCAGTCTACTGGAAGATTCCATTGTGAGTGGGCTTTCAAAAAGTTTTATCTCCGAAAAGCCAGTGTTTTCGCGCGTTCCTTCGTTCGCCCGTGGATGAAACCTCTACGCAAAGGTATTTCAGCATTATCTCTGTCGATAGGGTCTACGCACATAGTGAATTAATCGTTTTTCACGAAACACGGCCTATTAGAAAGGTTGAGGTTACAGCGGCCGCTGGGTTCAGCTGGCCTCTCAGCTGATGAACGAACGCACCGACCGGTTTACGGTGCTTCTTTCAAAAACTCTCGTCTCTTTTCTTCGTTCTTCGTCGTCGCTCGAATTGTTCCCTTCGACGATCGAGAATGATTTTTTGTGCAATATTACGAGCAAATACGTTGCTGTTTTTTTACGATACCGAACGAAGATTCTATTCTTTGGTGTAACCTCTTTCGCCTTAATTGTGACATTCCGCGAGTGTCTCTCATTTGTCTCGATCTTTCGAGCGGTCGTGTTCGCGGTATACCGATTGTCAGTTCATCGAAAGTTCCGCGGGTCGACGTTCGTGTCACGAAAAACTACAACACGAACATCTGCGAGCAATTCGTCGCTCCGATATGTCGGTGTAATTCACCTACGGTCACCCGTCGTCTTTTTTGCACGACCGTACCGTGAACTTTGAAAGTCAGTGAATGAGATTTCGGTAAACAGACGCGAATCGATCGTCGCACGACCGACTCGGCGACACGAGTCGCTCGAACGAGCCCGGGGATTATTTTGATTACCTTGAATTCTAAATTCAACGGATCGAATAGCGATCGATATCGATACGAAGCGTACGCGCCGCGGCGAAAGAAAGCGTATTGTATCTCGTGCAGTGGTAAAGGCGAATGTCGTTGAACTGTCAGTCGGCCGGGGTGTACTTTCGATCACCTGTAAGGCGACCGATGACCGCGTTTCCAGTGTCGCCGGGTCGGAGGAAACCTCGTGTATCGGTGGCATTTAAAAATCCGTGGAAATGTGTGCGTGTGCGTTACGCGGTCGCGCGCGCGGCACGAAAGCGCGTTAAATCACCGATGAAAACGACGCGTACGGCGGCGTGACACCGTTATTGCTTGCAAATTGACTCGGTTTTCCGTGAAGCTTCGTTCGAGGTCACCGCGCCCGGCTGCAGTTGAGCACCCAGCTGACGAATGGAGGCTGCGACCGGTTCGCCATGTTCCTTCCTTTTAAAGGCCACCTCCTTCTTTTTCCCTTTAAATCGCCTTTCACGTGCTCCGCGGGCCATCCTGTCGTCTTCTTCTCCTCTCCTTCCCCTCCCGCTTCTCCTTCTCCGCCTCCGCCTTCTTCTGCACCGTTTCCTCCTAGAAAATCGTATTGTTCGTGGTGCACGTCGCTCGCGCCCGAGAACGCTCGCTCGACTTCGTCGAACCAGTTCCCCGTACCGTTTCTTTGTGCGTCTCCTCGGCACGTTCAACCCGCGCTACGGGACGGTACTGTTTCAAGGTGACACGGGAGTGCAACGCGCGCGATTTCGAGGGTGCCAACATCGACCCGCGGATCGTCGGGCGATGTCGTTTGCGTGAACCATCATCTCGATCCAAATCCGGTAATTTAACGTTAACCATTTCACGACTGAATTAACCAGTGGCCAAGAGGCCTCTCTATCGCAATTGACTTTACAATTCGAAGGAAATTTTATCATAGCATCGTGTAACTTTTTTTCTGAACCGAACTGTATCCATTTAATATATTTAGCATCATTACCAGAGTACTCGGTAAAAATTTAATCGAAATCGCTTCGGTGGCTTGGGAGGAAACGGGTCATGAAGTTCGGCAATTTTACATATGGATAGAGCTCGGTTGTTGGTTCCCTTAATAACAATTACACCAATCGGTGGATTGCCAGAGGAGGACCAATTGCGTGGCCTGCATGCTCCCCCGATTTAACCCTTCGCTGACGAGCATTTTGGTGCACGGAGTGGAAATGCAGGGAAACGAACGTGCATCTGGAAACTATTTTATCCACACAATTTATTTTAATTTCATACATCGTTAGGTTCGTGAATAACACACTTCAGGAAATGGGTATACTCGAGAGTAGTTGAAAACGTTAGAAATGTTCCATGTTAGGTGACAAATATTAAATTTCACCCCCCTTTCGACCTTGAACTCTAACGCTGTAGCAGGGATCATACTCTTCTCTCTTTCTCATATTCTTAGAACTCGGTTCACTTTAACGAGCTGTTCCTTTTAGTATCTTCCTAACAAGGGAAGATCCCCAGCCTGGAAATTCAGAAAATTCTGAAACTTTAGGGATACGTAGAGTATATGTATATAAATACATATTCGACTGTATTGCAATTTCGTTCGAAACCGATTGCGATATAATGAGAGGGAGGTATACGAAATTTGATTGCCCTTATCTTCTCTTAGAAACGAGGCTTCCGAGGCTATGCATATAATGGAATAGTTAGAAATTGTAAGAGCAAGCGAGAAAGAGTCCGAGCAAGTAGGAAACTGTGAGGGGAAGTGAGAAATAGATATAATAAGTAGGGAACAGTCAGTACGAGTAGGAAACAGCGAGGACGAGTGAGATAACGTTACCATTTAAACGTCGGACGCGTTTCATGCATAATAACTACCTGACGACTATAGCAATTAATTGTAATATATTTTTATGGAATTTAATATATAAATTCCAATATCTCTCGCTATATTTCACATTTTCTTACATCGATGGTTTACAGTACACATATCGTACGCTCGTGTTTTATTAAATTTACATTTTGCTAGTATTTTATTATTTCTATAATTCGGTTTTCAAAATGGTCCCTGAGATCGCACCAGAACATGTACGATTAAGGCAAATTTCTTTGTGATACTTTACGCCACTAGTTGCGATGAATTACTTGAGGTGACAAGGGAAATTTTACATAAAGTGAACGGTAACGGGATCTATAATGAAACGAAAAGTTGTACGCAAGTTAGCGTAGTTAGAAAACTCGGCGTTTGACCGCCGAAGCTATAGCAAGCCTTATAGCTCACTCTCGTACAGTGTCGAACCTAATAGAATTTTATCTCTCGTTCGAGTATAATCAGAAAAAAATAAACATCCTCGTATTTGATAACGAAACAATAATGTAAATATGTTTTAAGCTGAGCATACAGCTGCTCGCGAAACTGATCAAATACATACTTTCATTCGTTGTACCTTTTATGCAAACAAAATGTAATTGCTACCTATAAATCTCTGGAAACGTACTTGATACATAATTTGAATTGATTGAAGTAATTAAAGAAATCGATTGGGGAGCCGTTAAAGATGATAGTCGTCAAGGTTGCCCAAGAACGCGAATCAATAAAAATTCGGTCAAGGTCTTGCGATTATTGGAAAATTAGCCGAGATTATCAAATTAATTCGTCTCGTCTCAACCGAATATTTAAAATTACGTAAAATTTCTGCGTCCACGGATCTTGACGCGATGACCAGAAATTGGAGCGAGTCGATCATTGCAAATGCTTCTTCAAATCGATTATTACTGGCGACTGGGACGTGATATTTTCATTACCAGCCCGGAAACAAAGCCAAAGAACTATGAAAGGAAGTCGTTAGGAGAACATTTCAGACATTTAAATCTACGTGACGAGTATCTCAAGAGACGTTTCACCGAAACACACAGACACTCGAGAAGGAACGTGTTTCGAACGAAATAAAAATAACAAGACACGGTGTATTTTTTTTGAAATATTTTAAGAAGTTTGATTGCTTTGCAATGTTTCTTTTTTCATGACTTATTATGACTTTACGACTAATCGTGTTCTAAGAATCGTTCCGCGATAATGCGTAATGTTCGACATTGCACGTAATATGCATCGCTATGTATGTATTTAAAAGCAATCGGGGCTCGCGTGCTGGCAAGCCCGGTGTGAGTCACCTGGCTTCAGACTCCGCTTCGTTATTTCTTATTTGTGCTCGATTGGCTAACGAAATAAGAGAGCCAGCGCTGCTACTATTCCTACTAACGTTCCTTTTTTCTTTTTTTTTTTTTTTGTTATCGTTGAATCCTTGCTCTCTGTCGTAATAAAATTCTCGCGCGAAGGATACCGTTTAAAACCAAGTCAACAACGAGCCGGTTAATTGCAAACGTTGTACCACGCGACGAAGCCTAGGCTCGGTGGAACATTGCGACGATAATCGGCGTGCTGTAATGTAACTACCACCGAAGCTTGCACGTTTATCGCGAACAGGCTTTTTACCCGATCGTGCTCGCCCGTTTCGCGTTCGAGCAAAAATGTCGCGGAAAATTCGGTTTCTAAATTCGAACGGGGACAGAAAGAATTATTCGTCGACGCGCGGCCGTGTGAAACGAGCGTGATTTCAGCTGAGGAGACAGAAAAACGAAGGAACGTTTGTCATTCCGATACTCGTCTGACCCAGACCTCTGTTCGTGCAGTTTCTTCTGAATTTTTATATTCTTCACTGCCCCGGGGGATTATATTAGGTTGACCCATAAATCCTTTTCGTAATTTCCACGACCGTCCTTTACGGGCAACAATCCGGGGAAACACGTACGTGGTCTGGTTTTTCTTGGTAACGTTACGATTCGAGCCAATATATCGATTTATTTCGACAAACTTTAACAAAACTAAAATATTTACACCATAGAATACTGTAGATTTCTTTGTTATATAGTTTCGATCGAATTATTTCTGGGGAGAACGTTGATTCGGGGCGACACGCTCGTTCGAGAAAGACGATCGCGTTCTACGGTCGAGGTGGACTACTCGCGAGTAGAAAGTTTTTGCCGATCGCAGCGTTTATTTTTATCTTCATTCTGTGGAGGGTAGGTATCGACCCTAAGTTTGACTTCACCCCTTGGTGGACGGAAAACGGATTGTTTTATGGAAATTCGATAGTTTGCGCGCAAGGTACCCTATAAGGTTTGAAAGATTCTATTTGTTATCGAGGAACATATTTCACGGTGGCCGATTCAGCTCGTTGTAACCGTCCGACCAGCTTGGAGACATTTTCTCTATTAACACTATTTCTATCAAAGGCGTCAAAGGACCCTTTTGCAATTTTAACTTTAAATTATTTTCTAAATTTAATCATCTTTATCCGATAACGTGATA